GGATAGTTCAAGAATATGCAGCAGATGCCACCATTGGTTCCCAAAACATCATTACCTGGGGAAACATAACCGACCGTGCAAGACCTGCAAGAGATGTCGGGCCTACAATGCAAGTCCCTAGTTTGCCTGGCAAGGTTCTCTAGGTCTCTTATATAGTTCACTGACACGATATAGGAGGCCAACTATTCAAAGCAAAAGACTCTCATATTCAAAACACCACTGACTCCCCAGATTGTGGAGGGCGGGATCCAGACCAGAAGCATGGGAGATTCCTCACTTCTCCCACCCCTTGATACCACCGGCCTCAGACCGCTGCTTCCTAAACCCACGCCGTCAAAGAGTTCAGCGCCTGATTCTGAGACTGGGTTGCTTTTTTCTGAGCAGGTGGGCTTTGCGACGCCGGCCTTCAGCGAAACTGTATCCAGAAAAGCTCTGGAACAGACTCGAACACCTCCACATTCGCCGGCGGTTCAAGGGCATCTTCACAGCCCACAACCCATTATATCTAGGCAGATGCCTCTAGATGCTTTGGAATTTTTGGGTTCGCAAAGCCCTATCCTGCCTAGGACGATGCCCACAGATGTTTTAGATCATATTTCAGATCCCCCGACTTCACAGCACCCGATGAATACCATGCGTCAGGAGAAAACTCGATACTTTCCACGGTGTTTCGTTCGTGCAGACTCTCCGGGGTCAGACGAAGAGTAATGGCAGACCAACTGCAGCCTGATCAAGACATATACAACGACGGTCAAGAATATATTTCTTGGATGAACAATAGTATCATTACTCGGAATGAAAAGTACGGTTTACCATGGTATATGAAAATTGGAATTGCCAATGTAACTACAACACTCGATTCCCTCACGCAATCCAAAACCATATTCTCTCTGCGACAATTAGCACGTAGCCACTTCCACGAGTTCAGAGACCTACCGAGGAAATTGCGAGGCTTGGGCTCCTCCCAAACCGACTCCAGTCGGTCTGCCTCCGCCTTCCCTGACCAGAGATCCATGTCCTCCAGTCGCACGAATTTGGTCCGCTTGACGATCTTATATCCTAGGAACAGGCAGGCAAAGATCGGGATATCGATGTACGGCGGCACAAAGCTCTTGGCACTGAACCTTCCGGGGAAGAAAGCATCGTATCCGTTGAAAAAGGCGACTATGGTTGAGAACCCGATGGCAAAGTACGCCAAGTACGGCTGGAATGGTGATTTGAACGGGAGCGTAGACCGGGAGATGCCGTGGTGCTTGAGCCCGCGGTAGAATCTCACATAGGTGATGGAGATGGAGGCCCACACGATCAGCGTACTCACCGAGCTGAGGTTACTGATCCAGAAGAAGACCTCAGCTGCACTGGCGGATACATTGAGATAGACGAGCAAGCTGAGGGCGCTGGTCACGGCCACGCAGGCGTAGGGGACGCCGAACTTCTCGTACGTGAGGAACCGGGGCGCCTTGCCGTCTAACGCTGTCGAGTAGAGGATGCGCGTCGAGGCGTAGAAGAACGAGTTGCCCGCTGATACAGCCGACGTCAGCACGACAGCGTTGATGATCGACGGCAGCACGCGGATGCCGCTGTTCGCGATGGCGATGACGAACGGACTAGCTCCAACGCCAGCCGCCTTGTTCTCAATGGCGTTGAGGAGCCGGCTGTCTTGGGCAGAAACACACAGCCCAACTAGGAAGACGCTGCCGACGTAGAAAATGGCGATTCGCCAGAACACTCGTCGCACGGCCTTGGGGATGTTGCGCCGGGGGTTCTCCGTCTCTCCGGCTGCGACGACCACCATCTCGCTGCCGCCGTAGCTGAAGGTCGCCTGGATAAACACCTTCCAAAAGGCGAGGAACCGTCCTAGCGATCCCTCCGCCAGATACTCGAGCATCGGGCCTGGGTGCACCCAATATCGGAATCCGATCCGGTCATGATTGGGTCCGCCGCCCAGAGTGATAATGAACATGAGGATCATCAGTCCGACGATGGTCAGCAGTTTGATCGACCCAAGCACGAATTCCACCTCGCCGTAGACGCGCACCGGGAGGCTATTGGTCACGACCATGATCGCAAAGAGAATGGTGATCCACGCCGCCGTAGACACTCCGTTGGGCCAGTATTCGATGACCATCACCGCGGCGCTGATCTCGATCGGCACGCCGATGGCAAATTGATACCAGTAGTTCCATCCCAGCGTGAACCCCAGCGCTTCGTCCACGAATCTGGCGGCGAATACAGGCACCGCCCCCGTTAGTGGCAGCCAGGTCCCCATCTCGCCCATGCTGTTGATGACTGCAAACAGGTTCAGGCCGGTGATAGCATAGGCGAGTACCGCAGACAGCGGACCAGCCAGAGAAAGCACCTGTCCCATTCCAACGAAGAGTCCCGTTCCTATCGCCCCTGAGAGTGCCAGGAATTGAACATGCCGGGATTTGAGTCGTCGTTGGAGTGTTCCGACATTCTTTTGCTCGGCCGCTTCCTTTTCAATATCGACTGGTGTCTTATGCGTCTCAGTTTGGTCAATACTGGTGACCTCGATGTCATCCTTGGACTCCTGCATGTTGATTGTTGATAGATACTAAATAGAGTATGGCATGCTGTGCTGATAACCCTCTCGTGATAACCACACACGCTGCGGGGCAATACGAAGCATCCATCCCCAGATCGCTCTTAGCGTGGACGATAGCGTTCACGAATGCAACGGTAATGTTATCGTCATCTCAATCCCTTGCTCTGATTAGTGCGGGGGAGGTGCATTGACTTGTTCGACCACCAGTCAGAGTGAATGTCTTCGACCGGGTGTAGCCGACGCGGAACTTAAGTATAGGTAAGCTGCCTCAGACCCAGACCCATGATCCTTCTTCCCCTCCTTTCTGTTCCTCTTCCACTTGGTACCTACATTACACCACTCACGATGGGAGAAGCGAATGTAGTTCTTGGCTCTGGGCCAACGCCCTTTGGGAAGGAGATGAAGAAGCATTTCTCCTTTGCTCCTGGCTACCACAACCTCAACCATGGTACATCCCCACTGCTTGCTGTCGGGTTCTTTGTTCCCTACTGACCAACCCAGGGTCCTACGGCACTTGTCCCACCGCAATCCAAAGAGAGGCAAATAGGTTGCGGGATGAATGTGAAGCCCGGCCTTGCCCCTTCATTAAATACCGCTTCCCTGAGTTGCTCGACGAGTCGCGTGCGGCAGTTGCACAATTCTTGGGAGTTCCGCGGTCAACTGTGGTCTTCGTGACCAATGCGACCACTGGTGTCAACACCGTGTTTCGCAACATGATCTGGAACACCGACGGCAAAGATGAAATCATTGAGTTTGACGTGGTATATGGCGCATGCGGCAAGACAGCCGATTATATCTGCGAGACGAGCCGGGATCTCGTGCGCACCCGCCAAATCCAACTCACCTACCCGGTTGAAGACGACGATTTTGTCGCTGCTTTTCGAGAGGCTATTGATGCCTCCCGCCGGGATGGGCGTAGACCCCGCATTGCCATATTCGATACAATCAGCTCTAACCCGGGGATTCGACTGCCATTCGAGGCCCTCACGGCCGTCTGCCGCTCTGAGGGCGTGCTGAGTCTCATCGACGCGGCTCACGGTATCGGACAGATTGACCTGAATCTACCATCTCTCGATCCGGACTTCCTCGTGAGTAATTGCCATAAATGGCTATTTACTCCCCGTGGTTGTGCCGTGTTCTACGTGCCGGAGCGCAACCAGGCCATGATGAGGAGCACCATCCCGACTAGTCATGGATTCCGTCCACGACTAGCACAAAACGAAGAAAAGAAAGTTTCGATTGCACCGCACACACACAGCGAATTTGAGCTTAACTTCGAGCATACCGGAACATACGATAACATTGCATTCTTGACCGTGCCCGCGGCTATCAAATGGCGCCAGAATGTCTGCGGTGGCGAGGAGAAGATCCGTGGCTACTGCACGAATCTTGCCCGTGAAGGCGGCAAAATTGTAGCAGCTGCGTTGGGGACATCCGTTCTGGACAATCCCACCCATACATACACCGACTGCTTCATGGTCAACATTCTCCTCCCGGTCCCACCGAAGGAAAATGAGTGCATGAACTGGCGGGGGCGTCCCGTTAACATTTCCGAATGGATGCAGCGAACAATGATTGAGGAGTGGCAGACCTATATGCCGGTTTTCTGGTTCAAGGGGGCATGGTGGTTTCGGATCAGTGCGCAGGTCTATCTGGAGTTGAGTGACTTTGAGTGGGCAGGGTCAGCCATGAAGGAGGTGTGTCAAAAGGTCAACAAACTGCTTGGATAGACTTATAGATTGGATGTACCACATACAATGGAAATTGGATACATCGAATGTATGCATGCTTCCCCAGCCGGAATTGACAAGGATCAGCATACTTGATCGGACATCGTGCATTAATTGTGGGCTGCATTCTGGGTGACTTTCATCTTTATACCCACTTTACCAAGCTCGAGTATAGCATTGCATTCTCTGGTATGATATGTAGTATACCCAGGAGTTACAGGAATGTTGTCTAACCTGCACACTTGTCTTAGGGTTTAGGGTTACGTCTTACCAGGAGTGAATCCATCAGGGTGCCTTGTTAAGGGAAATAAAAATGAACATACTATTATAAAGCCACGTATTTAGCATATACATCTCAATTGATTAATCTAGGAGCAATCATCTAACGGTTCTTGTCCAGAGGAGCCTTGGATGCACTACTGTCTACCAGCACTGCTGCTATGTAGCATCGAGATAACAGCGTTCTCCCTCAACCACATGCGTCTTATTTGCATACAGAAGCCACTGGTTTCTAAACCAATTCACTTTTATTCAAGTCATACCCAACTAAATATATATATATATATATGTATTCAAATCGCCCTCAAATCGAAAATGTATAGATGGTGCTGACTCACCCGGGATAACAATGTTCCCGCAGATGGCGAGACGAGCGAAATTCCGCAAATCGACGGCTTCTTCCGTCGATCGAGAATCCACAGCGTCGAAAATCTAGCTTTTCGGCAGTATACGCGCTCCATCTCAATTACTCGGCGCCATGGGAAAACGTGGCGGTAAGAAGGTGAGTCCCTTACTTGGTCCCCAATCGAATTTGTCGCAATCTCAACCCCACTGACAGCTTCTTCTACCGACAGGGCGGCAGAGGCGGCGGCCGCGGCGGACAGCAGCGCACCAATTGGAGGGACCAACCGAAGATTAATGAGAAGTTCGAGAACTACTACAACAACCAGGATTTTATTCCCGATGAGGAGAAGGAGGAGTTCTGGGCTGCGTTGCGGAGGGATCTGCCGAACAGCTTCCGGTTTACGGGATCGAAAGGGTATGCCTTATCTGTGCGATATTTGACTTTGGATTGATTTTTGCCTTTCCCTCCCCATTCGCATATCTGCAGCTGAAGTCGCATGTGAAATTTTACTGATTGTCATAGTCATGCGCTCGCCGTTCAGGAAAGACTCAAGGACTACTACGTTCCCCAAATCACCTCCATCGAGTATGAGGGTAGCTTCGTTGAGCCGCCCCGCCCTGTGCCCTGGTATCCCGATCAGCTCGCGTGGTCCATGACCACCCCCAAGAACGTCGTCCGTCGGTTCCGCCCCTTCGCCTCGTTCCAGAAGTTCCTTGTCGCCGAGACCGAGGTCGGAAACATCACGCGCCAGGAGGTCGTCAGTATGATTCCGCCGCTGTTGATCGATGCCAAGCCCGGAATGACGGTGCTGGACATGTGCGCCGCCCCCGGTAGCAAGTCCGCGCAGTTGATGGAGCTGCTGCATGCCGGAGAGGAGGAGGCGATGGCGCAGGTGTCCACGCAGGTGAAGAATGGATCTGCGACTCCCGAGCCGATGGGCCCTGAGGGTCTGAATGACGACGGAAGGACGACGGGTCTTCTCATCGCCAACGACAGCGACTACAAGCGCGCGCACATGCTTATCCACCAGATGAAGCGCCTCAGCTCCCCCAACTTGATCGTGACCAACCACGACGCGACCATGTACCCGTCCATCAAGTTGCCCCCGGCCGAAGGCAAGAACCGCTACCTCAAGTTCGACCGCATCCTCGCCGATGTGCCCTGTACCGGTGATGGCACCACGAGGAAGAACGCCAACATCTGGGAGACGTGGACCGTGACCAATGCGCTCGGCCTCCATGCCGTCCAGGTGCGGATTCTGGTGCGTGCCCTGCAGATGCTGAAGGTGGGTGGACGGGTCGTCTACTCGACGTGCAGTATGAACCCCATCGAGAATGAGGCTGTCATTGCCAGTGCCATCGAGCGCTGTGGCGGCTCGGCGAACGTCCGGATCGTCGACTGCAGCAACGAGCTGCCAGGCCTGAAGAGGCGGCCCGGGTTGCGTACGTGGAAGGTGATGGACCGCGAGGGTCGCATGTGGAGCAACTGGAAGGAAATCGAGGAGCAGAGGGAGCGCGAGGGTATCAACGGACTGGGCCGCATCGCCACCAGCATGTTCCCGCCCGAGGACGCCGACATGCCGCTCGACCGGTGCGTCCGCATCTATCCTCACCTGCAGGACACCGGCGGTTTCTTCATCACCGTGCTGGAGAAGCTGTCCGAGATCCGCGCCAAGCCGGAGGACTCGATCAAGGTCATCCCCAAGGGCACCGTCGCCGCCCTTGCCGAGGAACTCGAGTCGAAGCAGAAGAATGGCCCCGGCGAGCCGCTGGAGAAGATCGACGCGCTTGACGACATGGTGACGCTCGACAAAGCAGCCGAAGAGGAAGCGTCGAAGAACCAGTCGGTCGCGCAAGCTACGCACCAGCCCCCCTACTCGGCCACGAACCAGATCTCGCCCGCGAAGCGCGACGCTGAAAGCAGGGAGGACGAGCTCCCCGCTAAGCGCACCAAGCTCGAGGACGGCACAGAGGTGGTGCTGGGCGACCGTCCCATCCACAAGCCTCACCCGCTCCCGGAGTCTGACGCCGTTGAGACCTCCGACGCGGTTTCTTCCACCCCCTTGCCCCAGGAAACTGCCGCCCAGCCCGCGCCGCAAACCGAGGCGCCGAAGAAGAAGAAACCCGGCCAGCCGACGGAAGAGCCCTACAAGTACCTGGACCCCAGCAACGAAGAGCTGGACCCCATCTACAAATTCTACGAAGCGTCAGACCGCTTCCCGCGTGATCGCTTCATGGTCCGCAACGCCCAGGCCATCCCCACCAAGACCATCTACTACACCAGCGCCCTGGCGCGCGACATCCTGACCGCGAACGAAGGCCAGGGCATGAAGATCGTGCACTGTGGTGTCAAGATGTTCGTCAAGCAGGACGTCCAGCGCGCGGGCGTCTGCCGCTGGCGCATCCAGACCGATGGCCTGCGCCTGCTGGAGCCGTGGATTGGCCCCGCGCGTGCCGTAACGCTGACCGAGAAGGAGACGCTGCGGAGACTGCTGATCGAGATGTTCCCCAAGGTCGACGACAATGGGTGGAAGGATCTCGGCGAGATTGGCGAGCGCGTCAGAGATATTCCCATGGGATGCAGTGTTTTGTACATTGATCCCCAGGCGACTGGTAATGAGCAGGGAAGGTATGTTTATTCTTTTCCGTCCTTTTTCATTTATATACCCCAAAGGCCAACTGACTAATAATCAAACAGCGAGCGAATTGTCCTCCCTCTATGGCGATCTCTCCACTCGGTCAACCTGATGCTTCCCAAGGAAGACCGCCGAGCGATGCTCCTTCGTATCTTCAACGACGACACGCCCGTGATCAACACGACGATCAAGCGGCAGGCGCAGGCGAAAGAACAGACGCCGTCGTCGTCGGCAACGCCCGCGCAGACCGAAGAGGAGGCGCTGAAGCAGGAGAACCTGATTATCGGACAGGACGAGCAGGAGTACGTGGAGACGCGCGAGACGTACACCAAGGCTGGGGACGAGGAGGATCGGTTCAACACGACTGTATAGAGTTTAGCCTGGTGGGTTTGGTTGAAAAAGCATTGGATTTGATGGAGTTGTATAAGAGAATTAATCTTAGTTGACTAAATGGTTGTACATGAGAGATTGGTGTTTATTGGTGGCATTCTACACTGCCGTCCTCCCCGTATGAGATTAGACTTCATCTCCAGTGTTGTTCCTTGTCTGGTAGCCTGGAAGGTCGGACGGTGCTTTCTGACTCCAGAGCATCCCAGAATATACGGCACCATCTCAACTCGACCCCTCATCGTCATATCTGCATTGTCAGGGGTATAGACAACTCCTCCCAATATTTCCGCCAATAGCGGAGATCTCCCCAAGACCGCAGGTAAGACAATCGAAGCAGTTCGCCAACCAGCAGTCTCTCCGATCGCCGTGGGTAATGTTCGGCAAATTTCATGCACAGTAGTCCCTCGATCGGCGGGTATAACCTGTCGGCTAAATCGGAGAATTTCCGCCAGATCCGAATCCGTTAGTGTTGTCGCTTGCTTTGCTCACCATGCGCGTCTTCAACAATGGTGGTGGGTGGAGTCCAGACGATCCACCCCGCACGGACATAAGCTTGGTTTTTGAACTTGGCTGTGGTGATGTTGGGGTTATACTATGTTTGAACACTTAAGTCAACAGTGCTGTTAATAGTGATTATAGTCACAGGCCAAATTCATCGAGATGGCGATATAATCAAGACAGTATCGCGTGGATTGAGAGCAAGGTAGAAAGAAGGTTGAGAGAGAAAGGACTAAGATTGAAGGAATGCGGAGACAGGACCGACGCCAGTCCCGATTAGTCTGGCCGTGTGGAGATCCAGATGGACCAGATCCTCTCCTTGTTCGCGTTCATCTATTCTCTCCACCTCGTCTCCCTGGACGGTTCGCACTACTCCGCACTACCTGGAGTCTCTGGACGGACGGACTCGTCGCGTCAATGGCCTCACATATTGGCGAAATATGACCTCACGTGCCAAGGAATGTCTAGTTGACCATCCCTGTCCCTGCGGTTCGACTGGAATGGAGAAGCAATGTCAATTTAAAGGGCAGCTCCACCTTGAGCTTGATACATTTCCCAACGACAGTATCCTTTGGGTCCTTACACCATGAAATTGCTGTCTTTCGCTGCCGCTGCCTTGTTGGCAACCCAGGCGGTTGGTGTCGCTATCAAGGACCGCCTCAATGGCTTCACCCTCATAGAGCACCATGATCCGGTGCAGCGGGACCTATTGCAGAAATATGTCCGTGTTTACTGATCCATATACTGAGATTACGCTTACACAATGTAGGTAACCTGGGATGACAAATCAGTCTTCGTCAATGGCGAAAGGATCATGCTCTTCAGTGCGGAGGTCCATGCATTCCGGTATGTTCACTCTCTCTTTTTACCATTTGTGCTGATCCCGCTAATTGATAAGGCTCCCGGTCATATCCCTCTGGCTGGACCTCCTCCAAAAAATCAAGGCCTCCGGATTCAATTGCGTCTCTTTCTACGTCGACTGGGCCCTCCTGGAGGGAAAGCCCGGTGATTACCGCGCGGATGGAATCTTTGCTCTTGAACCGTTCTTCGACGCGGCAAAGGAAGCTGGCGTCTACTTGATTGCCCGCCCGGGTCCGTATATCAATGCGGAGGTGTCGGGTGGTGGCTACCCTGGCTGGCTGCAGAGAGTCAATGGCACGCTGCGGGCAAATGACAAGGAGTTCTTGAAGGCTACGGATAAGTACGATTTACAATCTACTACACAGCAAAGTATATGAGGGACGCTAATTGCTTAGCTACATTGCCAACGTCGCCTCCACGATTGCCAAAGCGCAGATTACGAACGGCGGACCCGTCATCATCTACCAGCCGGAGAACGAGTACACTGGGGCCGTTGACGGCGAAAAGTTCCCGGACCCGGACTATTTCCAATATGTAATTGACCAGGCTCGCAAGGCTGGCATCGTGGTACCGATGCTCAGCAACGATGCATCCGCTAGTGGGCACAATGCCCCGGGCACTGGGAAAGGTGAGGTGGATATCTATGGTCATGACAGCTACCCGTAAGTATCTCTCTCTTCTCATATAGAAGTGATCTAACGTGCTTAGGCTTGGATTTGATTGTGTATGTTTCTAATCCTAGCAAATTAACCGTAGATGATCTAACAAACTAGGCGAATCCGAATGTGTGGCCCAAGGGTAATCTCCCGACCGACTGGCGTGCGATACACCTTGAACAAAGCCCGTCAACCCCATATTCTCTCGTCGAGGTACGATCTTGCATTCTTCAATATGGAAAATCTACTAAAAATCTTAGTTTCAAGCCGGTGCTTTTGACCCGTGGGGAGGTCCGGGTTTCGATAAATGCGCGGCGCTCGTAAATCATGAATTCGAGAGGGTGTTCTACAAAAACGACTTCAGCTTCGGGGTTGCCATCCTCAATCTGTACATGGTATGTTACCCTGCTCCATGTCATACTCATGCTAAGAAGTTAGACCTTCGGAGGAACCAACTGGGGCAATCTTGGCCATCCCGGTGGATACACTTCGTACGACTATGGATCGCCGCTGACCGAGAGCCGCAACATCACCCGTGAGAAATACAGCGAGCTCAAGCTCATTGGTAATTTCGCCAAGGTATCCCCGTCGTACCTTGTTGCGACACCAGGTAACTTGACCACGGGTGTTTATGCGGATACAGCCGACCTGGTCGTCACGCCGCTGATCGGACAGAAGACGGGGTCGTTCTTCATCGTCCGACACACCGATTATAGTAGCCAGGCGTCCACTCCCTACAAGCTTCGGCTCCCCACGATTGCGGGCAATCTGACTGTTCCCCAGCTCGGTGGGAAGCTGTCTCTGAATGGCCGTGACTCCAAGATTCACGTCGTGGACTACGATGTGGCGGGGACAAACGTGCTGTACTCGACTGCGGAGGTTTTCACCTGGAAGAAGTTTGGCAAAGACAAGGTTCTTGTGCTGTACGGTGGGCCGGATGAGCACCACGAGTTTGCGATTGCTTCCAAATCAGAAGCCACCGTTGTTGAAGGCTCCGAATCTGGAATCAAGTCGAAGAAGATCAGGAATACAGTCGTTGTTGCTTGGGATGTCTCGTCGAGCCGACGCATCGTCGAGGTTGGTGATCTCAAGGTCGTTCTTCTCGGTAAGCCGCTGCACAGCCTCTTCAACATGAAATCTACTGACTCGTTAAGACCGCAACTCGGCGTACAACTACTGGGTCCCTGAGCTTCCCTCCAAGGGGAAGTCACCCGGACTGGGCACCGGAGCCAAGACTGCTTCGTCCCTCATTGTCAAGGCAGGCTATCTCGTGCGGACGGCCCACCTACAGGGCGCCAACTTGCACCTGACCGCCGACTTCAACGCGACCACCCCAGTAGAAGTCATCGGGGCACCATCGCGCGCGAAGAATCTGTTCATCAACGGCAAGAAAGCCGCCCACAAGGTCGACAAGAACGGCATCTGGAGCACCGAAGTCCAATACAAGGCACCTAAAATCAAGTTGCCCAGCCTCAAGGACCTCGACTGGAAGTATCTCGACACGCTTCCCGAAATCCAGTCATCGTACGACGACTCCACCTGGACGGCGGCCAACTTGCGCCAGACGAAGAACTCAATGCACCCACTCAAAACGCCAACCTCTCTCTACTCGTCGGACTACGGCTTCTACACCGGCTACCTGATCTACCGCGGGCACTTCACAGCCGCGGAAACAACCCAGGCTGAAGACGCGACGTTCTTCGTGCGCACCCAGGGCGGCTCCGCCTTCGGCAGCGCAGTGTGGCTAGACAAGACATTCGTAGGATCATGGACAGGCCTCAACGCCAACAAAGACTACAACTCCACCTACAAGCTCCCCCAACTGCAAAAGGGCAAGTCCTACGTCCTCACAGTAGTAATCGACAACATGGGCCTCGACGAAAACTGGGTCGTCGGCGAAGACGAGATGAAGAACCCACGGGGCATCCTCGACTACAAACTCTCAGGCCACGACGCCAGCGCCATCAAATGGAAACTCACCGGCAACCTCGGCGGCGAAGACTACGCCGACAAGACACGCGGGCCCCTCAACGAAGGCGGCCTCTTCGCCGAGCGCCAGGGGTTCCACCAGCCAAAGCCACCCAGCAAGGCCTGGCCATCCAGCAGTCCACTGGAGGGACTCACGGACCCAGGAATCGGGTTCTACAGCGCCTCCTTCGACCTGGACATCCCGCAAGGCTGGGACGTGCCGCTTTACTTCCACTTCGGGAACAGCACCGAGGGCGAGCCGGCGTACCGCGTGCAGATGTTCATCAACGGGTACCAGTACGGCAAGTTCGTGAACAATATCGGTCCCCAGACGGCCTACCCCGTGCCGCAGGGGATCCTGAACTACCAGGGCCGGAACTGGATTGCGTTGAGCGTGTGGGCGCTAGAGAGCGGTGGGGCCAAGGTCGAGAGTCTCGAGTTGACGTATACGACCCCTGTGTTGACCTCGTTGGAGGTGGAGGGGTCGGAGCAGCCGGTTTGGAAGAAGCGGAGGGCTTATTAGCTGTTTTGGTAAAAGCGTGTGAATGAGATCAGAGGGTTGGGTAGATATTCGTCGAATTCATACGACTCCGGGATAATCCTTTGATTTAGTGTAGTAACTGGTATTGATTGGTAATTAACATTATACGTTGAACATGAGTTTCTAAGCGTAAAGTGAGCGACCAGCCAAACTCTTTCCTTCGAAAGGTTTCAACAAGTAGGTAGTCATCTCTGTGAGTCTGAGTCAAATGTAGTCATCGAGATACGTGGGCCATTTTATGGCCACTTGGCTCTCTTTGATTCTATCCATATCTCAGGATGGTTCATATTTCGGTCTGACAAAGTTTCTATCTGACCCATGGAATCTGAGTCTACATAATCGATTCTGTAAGTGTGGGTTCAGAAGAGTCGCCTAGGTCATGCAATATCACAGTTTCCAAAGAATGTAGATATTGTAAGTCATTTGTTTCGTAATCGCCTTGGTATTATGAGCTAGGATGGAAACACTCATGGTATGCTCACTTACCAGTTTCTATCCGCTTTCTCCACGAGCTAGTGGTGTAAGATGAGATAATGTGGGTATATGTGTGCGACTTCTAGAGACTTTGTCGTATATACCATGTTCTAGAAGTAAAGGTTCCATAATCACCGTTGATAATGGATTTATCGCGTCTGTATGGATCCTGGGTTTCCTGGCGTCGACCCTGCGGGTGACAACACATCGATGGTGTGCATGAGCAAGGTACGCACTCTTGGCGTAAAATATAAATGCGCTGCAGAGTTTCAATAGCGCGTTCTGAGCTCTAGCATGCGAAAGAGCTGCGTATATTGGTGTTTGGACGGCCAATGCCTTTCCTGATCAACGTTAGTACCAATCTCACGACCCAAATACAATCTCACAGCATACAAGACAAGAACGATTGTCATTAAGTCCTAATTGGCTTACAGCCACTGCTGATAGGCCCTAGCAGCTTGAGAGGACTCAAAGTCATACCATCTCATATCGCAATAAAAGAAGAGAAGTACCCCCAGTCTGGTAGCTTATCTCCCATTCGTAGTAAATCTGCTGGGAATCACCCAGTGCTCCCATGACCGTCACACAGTCATATACTGACTTTGAGAATCCAATGTAAGTGGGATGGATGCTCTGTCCTTTGCTGGGTTTCGTCCTCGGCGTCTATCAATCTAGACAGCGTAGAATGGCGGAGAGCCATGAACGACGACGTGACACTTTTTCAGGCCTTATGAGTAACCCTATATTCAGCATCTGATCAAAAATTTGGTCTGCGAGCTGGTTTGAGGGTTCTGGATAAGAAGCGATGACGATGACTTCACCCGGAGAGACGGGAAGTGGATCGATCTGCCTGGTTTACTGCAGTTTTGGCCTTGTTTCTTCCAAGTTGAGTGTCAAACATAAAGGATGGATGATGCTGATCCTCGATCCCAGGTTAGATCATTGACTTCAATTACTGGAGTTATATGGTGATGCTGAATTATTCACTGCTATTGTGACAGTCACACGTGACACTGATGTGTAGATCTGAACCTCCACAGTGACTCCATCCAATGATCCACCACCATATCCAACCACCAACTAGAGATCGGATATATCCGCAGCCGCCCTGGCAACCACGAGAGAGAGTCCGGAGTCTAAAGAACCACAAACAAACCATAACCATAACCTTAAACCGAACCACATTCACTTATCTCAAATCACAACCTTAAATAATAAACATCAAACAAATACCCCAAATTTCACAACCACCAAAAGAAACGAAACCACGAAGCAGGGCTATGGGGAAATAATACCACCACCAACCACCATGCCTGCTCTCTCCAGCACAACAACTCTACCACCTCCATGGCAAATTCAAAGCCAAATAGAAAACAACCAACAACAGCAACAAGACGAAGAAGAAGATGAACAAGATGAAAATGAAAATGATATCCATCTCCACAAACGAACCTCTCCCCCCCAGATCCCCCTCCCCAAAAACGACTACCTCACAATCTCCATCCCATCCACCTACGGCCGCCTGAACACGTCGCCCGCCCCCGGCACAGTCGTCGGCATCGTGCTCGGCAGCATCGCAGGCTTTCTCTTCCTGCTCTACCTGCTTTATCTGGGTTTAGGAGCGGGACGGCGCTTCGGAAGCGTTACGGCGGGTACAACTGCTACGATGACGACCATGTCGACGACGTCTGCGTCCGAGTCTGTCGATTTAGGCGGGAGGGGCGGCTACTATCGGGATCGGAAGCGGTATCGGCGGGGTCATGGTGGGGGAGGTGGAGGAGCATGGGTGAGGAGGCCTCGTCGTGGTGGTGGTGGTGATGGCGGCGTGGTGGAGGTTGAGGAGGAGGTGTCGCCTTCGCCGGGGAGGCGTTTTCGGAGGGGGGATGGGGGCGGGGAGGTGTTTGTTGAGGAGGAGGAGAGTTCGAGGGGTCATCCGGAGCAGGATCATGTGGTGGAGGTGTTTGAGGAGCAGTCGAGTGTGGATGGGTCGAGGGTGTCTCGACCGCCGCCGGGACGGAGGTTCGGGAGGGGATATCGGAGGGAGGAGAGGGATCCGTTGGCTTATGGGAGTGAGCTTAGTTCTTGAATTTTTTTTTTTTTTTTTATTCTTTCCTGTTCTCTTTTCCTGTTCTCCGGTTCCTTGTCTTTGGTTGTTTGTTTTCTGCGCGGGCTAGGATATGGATGGGTATGATGTATGATGTAATGCAATATGATACCAATGCGAATGAATACAACTCAGTCATTAATAAAGAATAAGAGACGAAGGCGAAAGAAAAGAAAACAAGAAGAAAAAAAAAAAAAAAAGAAGAAGGGAATAACCCCATACTCCACGCAAAACGCCCAACCCATCTCATCTCTCTACCCCATCCATCTCCATCTTACAAGACAGACGACGAGAAACAACCCCCCAAACACACACAGACAGAAGGATTTTATAATATAACCAACCACCAACAGTCCCCCTAGAACAGAATATCCAAACAACAACAACAAGCCAACGCAGCCATGATACCCGCGCAGATCCCGCCCCCGGACCCGCCGTCGCGGCCCCGATCATCGGCGTAGTACCCCGGTTGCGGCTGCTGCTGCTGCGGATACCCCGGTTGCTGCTGATAGTACATGCCGCCCTGGGGAGGCCCTTGGGGCGGCGGCGACCCGTAGTAATTCTGCGGCGGAGGAGGTCCGTAGCCTTGTTGCGGGGGTGGACCGTAGCCGCCTTGGTTGTAGTAGTCGTTGGCGGCGCCAGGGCCAGGGGGGGGAGTGCCTTGGTAGGGGCCGGCGTCGTAGGCGGGTTGGGGGTAGGCTGGGGGTGGACTTGTCTGATGATTGATTGTTAGTTATTATTCTTCTTCTTCTTGTCTGTTAATTTGTTGGGTTCTGCGGGAGGGTGTGTGCGGTGGCTTGGCTTGGGGGTTGGGAAACGTACGGGTTTGTTGTAGGACATGGTGACTGTTCTTCTTCGGGTTCAGCTTAATGATAAAAGGATATGGATTTGGAACGATGCTGGTGTGGAGTGGAGGGGGGTTAAAGGGTGTAGATTGAACAGAGAAAGAGGGAGAGAAGATGAGGAGAATAAGTTCGACTTGGCGCTTCTCCGTCCCGGTTAGGCAGCCACGTGAGCGGTCGGATGATGATTCTCAATTACGTCGATCGATGAATCTATTCAAATCTCCCCCGAAAACCAGATCGTGGGAAACTAGGTGGGAGGTGCCCGGGAATCTGCAGATTGGCATATTTATAGAATCAATTATTGACACCGCCACAGGGGTCAAGTGGCAGTGCAGAATGTATTAGGGATCGCGAAAACCAGGATGATATGTCCATCTAACTTTTCATGCGCTATACAAAATTCAGGTGATCAACCACATATCTCCACGATATCAACGCTTATACATGCAATGCAAGTCTATGCCTTCTCCTCCAGCGACGCCTTCTGGAGCTCCTCCGTCGCATCAGCGACCGCGTCCTTCTCCTGCTTCAGCTCCGCCTCGGCGGTGGGCTTGCTGTTGGCCTGGGCCGGCTTCTTGCCCGCGTCCGTCGCGCGTCCATTCTGCGCCGTCTTCTCCTCCTCCTCCAGGCGCGCGATCTCGGCTTCGACCTTCTTGATGTTCTACTGGGGTTAGTCAACCGATACAAACAAAAGGGAAAAAGGAAGGGGAATCTCACCTCCGCGGTCTTGGTGGCCTGGTTCTTCTTCCACTCGGTGACCTTCGCCGCCAGCTTCTCAATCGAGGCCGGCACGTCCGCCTGGTTCATGGGCGGGTCGATCTTAACCTTGGCGAAATCCTCGATAATGCCAACGTTGAGGTTGAAGCCGGTCGCCCCGCTGCTGGCCGCCGTCCCCTTCTTGCCCTTCTTGCCCTTCTTGCCTGCCGTCCCCACAAAGTAGTCGTCCTCCTCCTTCTTGACAACCTTGAAGCCCTTCATGCCGGCGTCGTCGATCTTGCGACCGACCTCGGCGCGGAAGTTGGCGCCCTCGTCCTTGGGCTTGTCCAGCTGCAGAGCGCCAAAGTCGTAGGCCGGGTCGAAGTGGCGGATCAGCCCCTGCGCGGTCAGGATCTCGTCGGTGTAGGCCAGCTGCGAGGCCTCCTCCAGCTTCTTATCGGCGACCTTCTTCCGCTTCTCGCGCTCCATGGTCTCGCGCTGCTCCTTCTGGCGCTCGCGGCGCACGCGCCACGCCTCGTCCTCGTACTCCTTGTAGGCCTTGCGCGCCTTGTAGTAGGTGTCCTTCACCTCCCGGATGGCGGTCCACTTCTTCTGCTGCTCGCCGTGCAGGCGGGTGCGCTCGTCGCGCAGGGCGTTCAGGTTCTTGAAGACGCCGTCCTGCTCGGCCTTGATGCTGTCCAGCTCCTTCTGGATCGCGGTGTACTGGTCGCTGAGGGCCTTGGCCTCCGGGTTGTCGAGGGTCTTCTTGAGGGCGGCGATCTGAGCCTTCAGATCGTCAATGTTCTTCTGGGCTTCGTCCAGGCCGGCGAAGTTCTTGCGCTGCTTGCGCAGGTTGGAGACGGTCGACAGCGCATTGCGCTCGTCCACCAGTCGCAGCGTCCCGGAGTCGACCTGCTTCTCCAGGCGCGCAATCTCGCGATCGATCTCGTCGACGTTCTTGAAGGACATGCGCGTGCGCGAGGTGTTCTGCTCGGCGATGCGGGCCTTGAGGGTGGAGTCCAGGCCATTGATCTTCTCCTGGGTGCTGGTGCGCGAGGACTTGAAGCCCGACTGCTTCTGGCGGATCGAGGCGAGCTGGGCCCGGAGTTCCTGCTGCTTCTTGGCGACGGGGGAATCCTTGTTGTTGGGTTTGGCGGTCTCAATCTTGGCTTTGACTTCGTTCTGCAATCGTCAGATGGCGGCCCTATTCCTCGCAATTTGTTCGAATCCACGTGACTACGAACCAGCTTCTCCTGGACGGCAGCATGTTCCTTCTCCGCCTGGGCCAGGTCGACCTTGTAGGTCTCCTCATTGGGCTTCTGGGGCCGGGCCTGGGGCTCGTCAGCAGCCATGGCGAAGTATAGAGAAAGGATAAACAAGAATTGAACGAATCAAAGGGGGGATAATCAAACGACAAGAACGAAAGAAGCAAGGGGAGAGGAAAAGAAAGTGGGGGGAAACAACCAAGGGGAGAGAAAAGAGGTGGAGAGAAGAGGAAAGAAGCGAAGTTGTTCTTTTGCCTTCTTGGGACTTTCTCTCGTTCGGGCGTTGGCGGCGCTTAAACGGGTCCGGTCCGCCTTTAGCGCCGGCCGATTTTGATTTCTCACCTGGACGGCTTCATCGGTCGCATCCTCTCTTCTCACTGCTTCACTTTCCACTTGAACCATTCCCCTTCTCTTCCTCTCTCACACATCAACCATGGATGAGGATTACTCCACTGGCTCGGTCGACTCCGACCGTGAGATGACCCGGTTGTGGCGCACATGGCGCACCGTTTTCGAGATGCTTCAAGATCGAGTATGTCACCAACCACCAACAGCTGAAATCAAGAGGGAAAAAAAAGGACAGAAAGAAAATTAACATTCAATAGGGCTACGAAGTCACCGAAGAAGAAGTCCAAATCCCCCTCACCGAGTTCCGCATCAAATACGCCGACCCCATGGGCTATCCCGAGTATGCCTACCTTTTGCCTCCCCATCACCAACGCAACGCCCACAATCCAAAGATACCCACCAAGCTAACCTCCCCAGTCGCAACAAGATGAAGATCCAAGCCCGTCCCTCAGAAGCTATGGCCGCCAAATACACACCCCTCCCCAGCAAGTCGAACCCGTCGCCCCAGCCCGACTGCGGCACCATCTACGTCGAGTTCTGCGCGGACGCCAGCGGCGTCGGCACCAAGCAAGTGCGCGCCTTCAACCACTTCGTCGACGAGAACAACTTCCACACCGGCGTCTTCATCACCCAGACCCCCATCTCGCCCTCCGCCGTCCGCCTCCTCGGCTCCCTGCCCGGCCGCGTCTGCGAGCACTTCCAGGAGCAGGATCTGCTCGTCAACATCACCCGCCACGAGCTCGTCCCGAAACACGTCTTGCTCAGTCCTCAGGAGAAGGTGCGGCTGCTGGAGCGCTATCGTCTGAAGGAGTCCCAGCTGCCTCGTATCCAGGTGTCGGATCCTGTGGCGAGATATTTGGGTCTGCGGAGAGGTCAGGTCGTCAAGATTATTCGTCGGAGTGAGACTGCTGGGCGGTATGCCAGTTACCGCTGGGTTATCTAATTTATTCCTTTTTTTTTTTTTTCTTGTCATCTTGCCCACCCGTTGGGCACAGTATGGAGAGAGAAAGAAGGCATAAAAAAGATGAAGAAAAGATAAAAACGGGGAGGGAGGAAAAAAAGAAAAGAAAACACCTGCATGGGCAGCATGGCGTATGGGCGAAATCTTCCAGAGTTGACTTCCAGGGCTGTATGGATAGTATCCTTTTTCTATTTTATTTTACTTGACTTTAATTTGTGTTTTTATGATTAGTCTGGACGAGTCATTGAAGCTAGAAACTACCATTTATCTACCACCTACCACCTATTTACTTATCTACTAACTATCTACGTATACTTCGGCGACAAGTTATTCAAAACCAAGACAACGAACTGAGCAATCCATGCTTTACTCCATTAACTATTTAATATCCAGTGCATAAATTCATAAGTTAGATTCATGATATGTCCGTAATAAATCAGCGCCGTAGCTATCTGCCTGTCCACCCGCTCAAACGAACAAGATATTAAAAAGATATTCCGAATCCTCCCATATGATACAGCGTCTAACGTCGTGACTGCGTGAGATTATGTTTGTGTGTATGTAAGATGATGATGAGGATAGGATGAGGATAGGATGAGGATAGGATGAGGATAGGATGAGAATGGGTATATAATGTGGAGGAGAATGGGTATAGAATATGGATGATGATGAGGATGAGGATGAGTGTGAAAATAAGATGAGAATGAGGATGGGAGTGATAAGAGGGAAACATGAGGATAATAATCAGGAAGGCCTCTCCAATAACCCCCCCACATCCCGCAGCTCAACCTCATACACCCCCTCAGGAATGGGCGGCACCGGCACATCCGACGGCGGCCGATAAGCAGCAGCAGAAACGTAGTCTGGCGGATCGCCAAAATGCACACTCGGTCTGCGCCATTGTGCTGGGCTGGATCTGCGAGGGCGACTGGGTGTGGACGACTGAGTAGGCGGGGCGGATAGTAGGCCCCCTACGTCTTGGAGGGGGATCCCTCCCTCTTCGAGGGGACTCGTCGGTGAATAAGACTGGGGGGGAGGAAGTGGGTATCGCTGGGTGAAGCTGAGGTGTGGTGGTGCTGTGGTGGTGGTGGTGAAGGTCTGGCTTGTTCCGCTGCTGATGTCGACGAGGGACAGGTGTCGTGGTGAGACGCTGGAGTCTCTGGATTGTTTGCGCGAGGGCTTGCGTGAGGGCTTGCGGGACGGATTGTTCGTCGGGAGGTACTCGTGTGGATGTACTTTAACGTCCAGGCTGCCGGTGGTCGAGGTGCGGTCGTCGGCGTCCTCGTCGTCGTCCGGGCCGGGTTGCTCGCCCGGGAAGTGCCATCTCGAGTTGACGCCGTGCGGCCGGGGTGGCACGTAGGCGCCTGCGACGGGTGCTACCCGCGGGAGCCTGTGATCTGAGGAACACAGCTTCGGGTCCAGGCGCATGCCTAGGTCGCCCGCGAGGTCGTCGTCGCTGCCCCATTGGTGGTGGGAAATGGTTGCGCGGCGAGAGGAGCTGAGGCCCATGCTTTCGCTGACCGATGCGGAGCCGTCGGACTTCTTGAACTTGGTTTTTTTGATGCCGCGATCCCGCACGAACGAGCCGATGACGACCGCGTTGGCTACGGCCGTTGCGGCGAGGATCTCCAGGGATGCCAGTAGCGAGCGATACTGCTGCGACCCGTCGTTTTTGATCACGGACGGCACCCGGTAGCAGGTGATGCCGACGAGGATCAGCGACAGGGCGAACAGGACCACCAGCGAGAGTTTCCGCTGCGCTGTCATGTGACTCCTGAGGATTAGCGGGATGGGAAAGGCCACGAGCAGGAGATCGGTTATCACGTCGCACGCGCCCATAGTGATGAGGTTGGCATAGCCCGACCGGCAGTGGGGTCCCGGGTCCGGCACGACCTGCCAGTAGTGGTCGAACGGCTGGCATTCGGCCAGCGTGGCGATCACCACGACGATCAAGGTGCAGACCAGGAAGTAGTAAAGGAATTGGAGGAAGCGCTGGATCGACCGTCGCCAGATCATCCAGGTCAGCCGTTTCAGAAACTCGCAGACGGTGAGCTTGGCGGTCCAGATACTGGTACGGAGAGTCAATAACCCTGGCCCCACGAGAAGGATCAAGACACGTACAAGATAGCATAGAAGATCCGGGACGCCAGTACCATTCGACTACCGAGTTCGCGCAGTCGGATATCTTCCTCCGTCAATCCCTCTGTCTTGGTATTGTTGGTGCCCCACTTTAGAACCAGATGTACCAAGGCCATGCGCACTATCAGCGGGATGACGCTGATCATCATCACCTTGTCCTCGGGAAATAAACGCTCGATGCGGACGTAGCGTCCGCAGATGCGCGTCACGATGATCACGAATGAGAACATGGTAGCCCACCAGCTCACCAGCAAGGTCGGGTTGTTGTCCATCGCGGTGCGGGTATCCGGGGGCCCGGCAAAGCGGTCCAAAGGGGACAACATGGTACGCGCTGGCAGGGCCACTGACCCGCCTCCGAAGAGGGGCCAGACAGCAACAGAGAGCAGTGTTGAACAGTGAACCGGCGATACACGGTACAGGAGCCCGGAGCAAAGGTGCCAGGACGCGCCGTTTACATAGTCTAGATGGTCACCGCGGAGAAATCGAACAGATTCGGTGGATGCGCACGTGCCTCCCCCAGATCCGACGTGGTCGGTGTGGCAGCAGACAGGCAAGTCGATCACGAGAGTAGTAGGCTATTAGCGGCCGGATCAATGGGAGTCGACGATCCTCAGGATACCAAAGGAGAATCAGGTGGGGGCGAAGCTGCGAGAGGAGATGCAGCACGGGGGGTTGTGTATGTCGATGCTTAGTGGTATCTGCAATGACAGAAACAGGTCCAAGAGAGTGGGAAAGGGCGGATTCATGTCTGGGACGAAGGCCACCACGGACCAAGCCAAGTAAGTCCGGGGGGAGTAAATTTTAATTATTCACCGCAGGTTCTGACGTGGAGACACTTTATATAAACCTTAGTTGTGTTCTTTTTTTTTAAATGGCCACACAGGCCAGCGATAGCATTCTATTGGGAAGACTATCGCGCGTTGAGCGCTGGGCAGGCGACCAGGATTGAGGGGGAATAGAATCATAGCCAGCCACCCAGCGACGCTTGTGGTCCAAATCCCAATCATAACCATCATAAATCACGATGATAAGAATTGTGCCAGTGATAAGAGTGATCAGGGTAATTGAAGGATGGTCCAAACTCAGTTGCCCATGCTCAGCCTGGATAGCCAGGATGGTCTAGTAACATTCGAGGGTCAGTACCAATATCACCGCTGATACGCGCCATCCAACCCAACGGTGAATGGTCGACCAGATAACAGAAACTCGAGCATTGGATTTTGGTCCAGCCAAAGCGGGGGAGCATCCATCCAGCAGGGAATAAGGCACTAACCGAGCGACTAGTGAGGCAGGGTAACAACTTCCACCCTACGAGAGGAACTCAAACCAGGGCTACAGCTCCTGGGGGTGGCGGTTCCCATTGAACCACAAGCTGATTCTATTTTCCATCATTTCGTGTGGCATTGCTTCTGAGTCAGATTCTCCCTCTACAATGACGAGAAGTCTGGAGCAACTAATCAGAACACGAGCTGTGTCAAACCGTGTCACTCGAGAGATTGCATGGTCGATGCGGACAGGCGATTATTGTCAAGGGACAACCTGGCGATCATCTGTACGCGAGTGGAGTAGTAATCCATGTCGGAGCTAATTCCTGGCTATCCGTGATCCCTGTGGAACGGATGCTACCTCTACTAACAAGACGAGAAGAGGGGGTTCGGATTGGCTGGACGAGGGAATAGGAGGTAATCTCCTCGAGTCATCCGCGTGGAACAGCCTAGGGAGGACTGCGATGTATGGATTCCACATGTGGTCTGGGGTCCAAGATTGGGGATACACAGTTACTCGGAACGACACATGGCGGATGAACTCGGAGAATTCAAGATGAAACTGTTTTAAACGAGGGATGGAGAGGAGAATCAAGCGAGAGACCGAGTAGATCGAAGTAGGATTGGATAGGTTAAGACGATGACCGAAACAGGCAATTCCATACGCCCCACGTGAGATGTCGAAGGATTATTAGTCAGGCTGGTCAATAACAATTGCATATTATGGCATATTATTGCTCATTTGATAAGGTATTTGACCATATCGACAGTTGTCGTTGAATAACGCGCCATGATGATCCCATCGGTGTGACTTCATGTCAGGACAAATTGATCCTGTCACATGCCTCGGTATCCTTCAAACCACTATGAAGATACGACAGTCTCGTCCGACAATCTCAGTAACGTGGAAGCTAGGTTCCAATCCTGCCCGCCGATCGAGTCAGAGTAGGGTAGTAGCTATTAGTACTTGCTCCGTCGGTATGCGATGGAGGAGATCGCTGGATAGGATAGGACATGGGCACTCGTCCGCTCAACCACACTGGTCCACCGGACGTGGTCGGTGGAGAACTGTTTCGGGTCTGGTGGTGACGTGATAACCAGCAAAAAATACTCAAAAAGGAAGATAAGGAGAAAGATCAGTACCAAAATGGGCTTTGTGTTGAGGCGTCCCCCCTGTTATAGACATCCTAGTCTAGGGCGATTCTAATAGATGAAGTCGGTCTGGCTAGCCTTTTTCGGTGTCATCTCACTTTCCTTGCCAGGGTAACAATCAATACGCTGCACAGGGGGAAGCTCGTGACAGTGGACAGATGTACGAGGAAGAAGGAATAAAAAGAATGTGTATATCTCTACATCCCAATGCTCATTCTATATACATGCGGTTCGCGTTGTCCATGCAGTAGTCCTTCCACTGACTGATGGTACTAGATACAAGTAATCAAATCCTGAGGGATCCATCGGAAAGTCGGGAGAAGAAGCGACAAGATAAAAGAACACAAAAAAAGAAAGAGAGAGAAAAAGGAAGAAAACAAAGATAAGAAACGCCTTTATATATGCCATCAGATGTTATCTATGAAAAGCGACCCACACGACTGGCAGGCCCGCCATGCGTCAATCGTAGCCATATCACGGTCTTTCAAACAACTACAGTACAAAATGCTACCCGCGCGCCAACCTCCTCACTCGTCCTTGGACGGCGGGGACGAAGGCTTCTTCTCCTCCGCGGCCGCGGGAGCACTGGCCTTACCGGAGTTCTTGTACTTGTCCTGCTTCTCTCGCAGATAGCGCCAGGTCCGCGACACGCCCGACGTCAAGGGTCCCTTGGCCGTCTGCACCAGGCTGGGCCACCGGATCGTCTTGGTGATCGACGTCCGCACTTCGTCCTTCAGGTGGGCATCCTGGCCCACGCGCTGCTCGAACGGACCACCCTTCTTCCGGCGCACCATCTCGGGGTCCGAGTCCATTCTGTCCTTCATCATCTGGTCGAAGTCGACCCGCGGGATCTGGTACCGGCCCTGGTACTGGAAATATAGTTTCTGCCGGAACGACTCGGGCAGCCGACGCACCATGTTGCCGCGCTTCACCGGGTCCATGTCCTGCGTCAGGCGCACGTTGGCGTCGGAGTCGTCGATCCAGTCGTTCTGGGAGCAACGCGGGTCATTGAAAGTGACATTCGGGAGATTCTCGATGAGAGGAGCATATAGCCGTCGGAAATTAGCCATCTGCCCGGTCACGATGTTGTTCACCTTCCGTGGGTCCTCCGTCGGGAAGGCCATGCGGATGTCCCCCATGTAACTCATCCCCGCGATCGTGCTGTAAAGCTGGAATTCGGTAAACTCGGACGGGAGAAGCAGGAGAGCAACACGGAGGGCCGAGAGCAAGTTGATCTGGTTCGCCAGTCGCACCCGCGGATGATCTCGCAGGATCTTCACCGGTTTTTGTAACCGGCCCGCAAGGTACATGGTGTCCCACTGGCTGAGGTCGCGGCACAGGGTGTCTAGATTCACCACCCCGTACTTGATGAGTGTACCGTTGACCGTGACGTAGGGATTGAAATAGACGCCCGCGCCGAATTGGTCCTGCACTTGGGAGACCACGTAAGATCCCATCGATCCGAGTCCGGAGTAATGATTGCGGTGCTGATGAAGGTTTAACGAGTGCCAGTGCTGAGAGTACGACACCCCAAAGATGAAGTCAATCATCTTGCCGTTCCCTTGCTGCATGTTTGTAATGGCGGCTGGTGCGGACGGGTGGCATTTCTCGGCGGCCGGGGCGCTTCCGGGTTGCGGAAACACCCCCGATCCGTATGCAAAGGCATATCGAATCGGGGCGCGGAACTGCCACAGAATCTGACGCAGGGCCTCCTTGAACTCCTGATTGATCACCATGTGCTGGTTTACCCCAAAGTCTTTGGACGGAAGTTCGGAGAACGCGGAGATCGACAAATTCGGGTTCTCGTCCCAGTCGCTCGCTTCGTACCGTCCAGAAGAGGTCGAGAAGGACACGGCAGACGACCCTAGGAAATTTCGGTACACGCCGGGCGACCTGGACGAAGCGACCGCAGGAAGGGTTTTGTTTTGAAAAAATGAGGCGCCATTGAGACGTGATCTCGAACAGAGGGTGTCGGAAAAGGCACGGGCAGAAGTCGGGATTCTGGAACTCCGCGGAAGCGACGGGTTGGCCGCGCGCAGGCGCATATAAGGACCGGAAGAATGCATACAGAGAGGCTTTAGACAGTCACTTTTTAGCATTGTGTCCTCGACCGATAGACTAGATCACTCTTACTGTTCGCATTTTTGGTATGATACCTAGGAGGGTAAACAGGCGCGATAAAAAGTGTGTAGTCGAACTAGATCAAGGAGTATGGACATCCGCTGCTCACACCATGGTTCGCAAAAGAGTGATCCTAGAAGACAAACAAAAAAAAAGAGAAGAGAATTTCAAGTGAGAGAAAGGGACAAAAGTAAGACAAGAAAGCAGAAAATGAAAATTGAGAAAAGATGGATGGAGAGAGGGGAGCGAGAGAGAGAGAGGGAAAGAGAGAGGGAGAGGGCTCTGACGTACGGGCGACAACGGAGTAGTCTCGGCAAAGGTTCTCGGCCTGGTCGAACTGGACGGCCTGAGGCAGGATCCACCGCCTCCTGCACCGCCGCCCGTCAAGCCACCGCGGGCGGTCACGTGCTGTCGCTCTTCCGCGGCGTTCGGGCACGCGCCCTCCAAAACAACCACTGTAAACAGAGCCGACGCCCTTGACAACCACTTCGGATTCAACGTTCAGGGCCCACCAACACTCGTTTATCTTCCTTGTACCCAACGATTTGATTACCCTTTATATCGGCGTGAAGCTGGGACGTGTTGATCCCCCAAATGTTCCTCGTGCCCTTCCCATCATGACACAAAATATGGAGACCGTTGCCTCCCGTCTCGCCAGTTTCGACCTGGTGTTGCAGCCGGAGAAGCGAAGGAATTCAAGCACAAAGGCCGCAGAGCCGATCGCTTGGCCTCATAGGAGTCCTTCGCCGACTGAGGTACACTTTGCGCACTATTCCTTGCTGCATGCGACCGCTAATGCATAGATCCTCCAGTTGGCGCATGCGGGCTTCTATTACCACCCTTATGAGACGAATCCTGATAATACAGTATGCTTTCTGTGTCGGAGGGCCCTCGATGGCTGGGAGGAGGAGGATAACCCGGTCGCGGAACACCTGAAGCATTCGAGTGATTGTGGATGGGCGATTATGATGGATATCCAGCAGCATAGCTCCAATCCCGCTGAGATCCAAGACCCGACGAGCGAACATATTTTTCAGGCCAGGCTCGCGACCTTTAACTCGGGATGGCCCCACGATGGAAAGCGGGGATGGACATGCCAGTCAGAGAAGGTAACGTCAATCGCGCACCCTCGTTGACCGGGATCTAACGTGGTTGCGGCAGATGGTGGAAGGCGGGTGGTATTTTTGCCCCAATGAGGAAAGCAATGATCTAGCCAGCTGCCCCTATTGTAAATTGTCTCTCGATGGATGGGAGCCGAAAGATGATCCTTTGTATGTGCCGGTTGCTCCTCCCTTTTACTCTGACTAACCGTGTCAGTGATGAACACTACCGCCGATCCGCCGAGTGCTCCTTCTTTGTCTTCGCGCAAGCTCCTGGCAAGAAGGGGAAAGGATCCCGCTCTAAGAAGGGACGCGGGTCAAAGGTGTCTCGCTTGTCAACGCAGTCGACTGTTTCGGAAGCACCCTCGGATCTCGACAGTGTGATGGACCAGAGCATCATTTCGCAACCATCCACCACCAAGTCGAAAAGCACAAAGAAATCCAAGTCGAAAACGAAGGATGCACGTTCCAAGAAAGAGGAAGAGGCCGACAGCCATATGGATCTCGATGCTCCTGAGGTTACGGTTGCAGAGCCTGAGCCTCCAAAAGCCAAACGAGCCACTCGAGGCAAGAAGAGAACAAGCGAAGACGTGCAAATGGACGACATGAACATTGCGCGCGGGGAAAGCGTGGAAGAGACCGGGCGACCATCCAAAAAGCGGGCCACCAGATCTCGGGCCAGTTCCCAACCGGTTCACGACTACGATAATGTCGAGCCAATGGTCGCTGATCAGGACCAAGTGGATAGCCGAGAAGAGGCTCAAAAGGTCCAAGAGATCCAAGAAGTCCAAGAGGCCCCCAAGAAAGGCCGCGGGGCAGGCAAAAAGAAGGGAAGTGGGAAAGGCCGTAAAGCATCATCCGCATCGTCAACGTCGAAAATCATACCGCAAGAAGAGGAGCCTGGGGATTTGGAGATCACTGCCGCCATCGAGGCCGATCTCGAGCAGGACCATGTCGAGCCGGTCGAGCCAACCCCAGAGGTGGCAGAGAAGCCCGCGAAGAAGTCGAAGAAGAAGGGCAAGAAGAATGATACGGCAACCGAGGAAACCGGGGCGTTATCAGAAAAGAAGCATGAAACAAAGGAACCGGCACATGTTGACGAGCTGGTGGATCAGGAAAAGCCGACCAAGCCGGGAAGACGTCAGAAAGCACGGGCTTCAAATGATTCCCAATCCACTGGCCGGGCTCACACCGAGACGCCTGCGCCAACATCCCCTTCACGGGACAAACATGAGCGAGTTGAGGAGGACACAAAGATGGAGCTTCATGAATCGTTCGTCTCGGTGGAGATCCCGGCGCGAAAATCAGAACAACCCGTGGAGGTGGAGACTAGCCAGAAACCCAAGAAAGAATCCAAAAAGGGTTCCACAGGCCGGGGGAAGAAATCTAAGAAGACAGAGGAGGCCTCTACTGAACCAAGTGCACCGGCTGTTGCGCCGCCTCAGCCCCAACAAGATGACGATGCGGAGGAGCCTAGGAAACGGAAGAGTTCCCGGAAGCAGAAGTCCGCGGACCACGATCTTGAACAACGCGAACTAGACGGGCCACCTCAAAAGGAAGAGGCACAAGAACCGGAACCTGAACGGCGGACCTCACGCCGTAGGTCGTCTATGGCCCCTCCGAAGACGACAGAACGATATAGCGACATTCCGCAGGAGGAACATCTTGCGGAGGCCCTCGTGGAGTCCCGCCACTCTAGCAGCAGCCATCGGCAATCTGGCGGCAGCGATCCTTCTAGCCACATAACCCAGAAAGACAGTGACGTATCACCTCTTCCTGCCTCGAAGAGTTCGCCATCCATGTCACCGCAATCCTCCGATGCCGAAAACCGACCTCCGTCTCTGAGACCGACTGCGTCTCGGCCGCCAGTGTTGTCTCCATCCAAACCCACTCCGGGGCGACTTCCCCTGGCGCCCAGCACACCTTCACCTATCAAGAAGTACGCCAACCGGGGAGGCATCGACACAGCTCATACATGGCGGCCAGCTGATGTGGATGAGATTCTCCTTGCCAGTGGCAGCGACAAAGAAAACCTCGACCTGCACGCTGCTCTCAAGGACATCAAGGGTGAACTGACGAGCGAAGAGAAGAAGATGACAGTCGCGCAATGGATCCAGTGGAACGCCAAGAACGGCGAAGAGCGACTCCGACGCGAATGCGAGCGACTTGTCGGACAATTCGAGAAAGAGGGGGCACGAGCGATGCGTGCCCTGGAGGGCATTGAGTGCAGTGAATGAGCGCAAGCTCCTGCGCATGACTTTTTATACCAGTGGTGTCAGGCAAGGGGCATGGACCGGGGCGGGGGGAGGGGCGTTAGGTGATCTTTTTCTCTGCTTATTTTTGACATTGGTGTTATTAAGTGGTACATGACCGGGGGGTATATTCCAAGCAATCTGAACCAGTACATTCTTCTATTGTCCATCCATCCATGCTGTAAACGAATCCCGAGCGCCGTGGGTATATGCAATTTTTTGGGTAACCCCTATAGCAAACAAGTCGAAGCGAATCCCTCCATATCACGCGATGATGCCCAGACGACCTTCCCAACTGTCCTCTTCCTGCTTGACACCATCATTGCCCCCCTTCCGACGCTTCTCATTCCTCTTCCGCCTCTTCTCCTCCCTCTCCTTCGCCTCAATCTGCTCCCTCTCCTGCAACCGGACCCCCAAATCCAACTGCCACGCCCTCCTCTCCTCCTCCTCCAAGACCCTCCTCCGATGCGCCAACATCCTCAACCGCATCCTCACATCCTCCACATTCGCCAACTCCACCTCCCCACTCTGCCCCGTCGCCACCAAATGCTGCTTACTATTCAAATGCTCCACCAACTGCAAATTATCCTTAAACGTCAGATCGCAGTCCTCGCAGTAGAACCCCGCGCTGCGTCCGCGCTTGCCGACGCCCGACCCGGACGGCACGATCGTTGTCTTGCCCACCATGGACGCCACATTCAGCCGCTGATTGCGCGCCGTCGTCGCCTCCAGGCTGCTATAGTCGACCGGTGCGTGCCATTTCTTGCCGAGTAGCTTGGCTTCATAGCGGGCTTTGGACTCCTCTTTGCGTTTGGCCTCGGCGGCCGCTGCGCGCTCGGCGTATTCTTCGCGGTTCCATGTTTTGCGGAAGTCGGTGTCTGAGGCGGGGGGGTTGGACATTTTGTTGGTTTCTCTTGATTTCCTCTTTGGTTGATTTGGATGAGATGAAGATAGGGATGAGGGTGATTGGTTTTATTTGTGAGTTTGTTTGGTGGTGGAGGGAGTGAGTTGAAGAGGCGGAAAAGATGATGCGATACTGCCGGTGGTGGGCGGGAATGGCAGGCGGTGAGCGCTATCTGCTTATCGTTATCCTCCAGTTCATCCAGTCCATTTAGAACTACGAATGACTCCACAAAGATGAATATTGGAGAATCCATACAAAAGCAATAATGTCTCAAGAAAAATGGAGGCTTTGACTGCCCATTGGATCAGTCGTCTCAGGGCACTATTTTTAGAGCCCAGCCTGATACATCTGACACGTCATGAAACACCCTGCCGATCCATGTCATCACCACTGGATGTCGATGAAACATCATCTCCACGATGACCTCCGCTCGGGCGTCCAACCCCTCATGTTGCTACGGTCCTCGATCTGCGAGATCTAGTGACCTGATCGAATCTGGGGTGTGGAATGTTGCAAAACAGCCACCGTGTTTTGTCCCTCGTATTAGGCAGCAGCCCTACTCTACTTTAAATATATATCATCCTCTCAAATAGAACATTGGAATTGACAGTGTTCCTCCTGTTGTCCCCCTTGTACAGCAAAACCATGGACAAAAGCCTGATGTACCTCCCACCAGAGCTCCACATGCACATCGCATCGTATCTCTCCTACCCCGACGCGCTAGCCCTCAAGCACACCTGCCGCCATTTCTACAGCCTCGTCTACACAGGCGTGCACCTCAAGGTCGACTGGCTAGTCGAGCGCTTCGAGCGCAAGCTGGAGTGTCCCATGGAGAAGTGCTCTTTCCGCACGGACGAGGCCTTCTGCAACCGGCGCATCCGGCGCATCATGGAGCGGCGGCGGCGACATTTCGAGTGCTCGCGGTATCGGGGTGGGTGTTTGGTGGTTGAGGGGAGGACGTGTCAGATGGATTTGGTGCCGACTTGGTTGAAGAGGCAGGGGCGGATGAAGGTGGTGAAGGATGTTGGGAATGAGGGTTTGTTTTTTGATCATCTGTCTGATACTGAGACTGACTTGCTACTAGTTTTGGTGCATGGGGTGTTGTTCCTGTGTATCAGCTTTTTGTGGAGCTTTGGGGCGAGGTTTGTCCTGTTTTTGCCCTTGAATTTTCAGTGTTGTGGCTTATGGTTGCAGATTGTTCTCGTCATGACTGGTTGTCTCCAGAATCACTTAGGACGCCCATGGTGATCATTACTATCGGCATAACTACGGCATGCCCTAATCACATCCCGAACGCCAGCATCAGCATGCCAACTTCTCGCCACGCTCTACTCCGTTCTCTCTCATCTCTCATCTTTCTGCATCGCGTGCCCGTTCTTAGGTGAATGAGCTCTCGTCGTGCGAGTTGTCGCAAAGACAAAGTGCGCTGCGACATCGCTACCCCTGTGGCCGGGCCAAAACGCAGACTCGACAGCTGCTGTATCGCCGAGACCCATGGACTTCGAGACCCACGAACTTGAATGCGAATTGTTTTCAGATAAAGGAGATTTTCCTCATCACTAAGCCCACCTCTGGTTACACCGACAAAACTTGATCTCCTGCTGGAGAGCTCGCTATTCCTTGGTAGCCACCTAAGAGGCCAAAGACACTATTCGTGGGATCCCTGGGCCATCATCTTCGTTGCTTCCTAAAGTCGCCTGGGCTTACTATGGGGTCGGAGTCTCGCCTGCGTTAGAGCAAACTGATTCCATCATCTTCCTCATAATCGGGGCACGGGGTCATCAGGATAAACCATCCAATGTATTAACAATATGAATTATGTACTAATTATTCCATCAACCTAATCAATATCAATAATAATTTTCATGGCCTTTTCTTTCGCAGCTGCGCGGCAAGTCTCGTATGCTTGCTCCGCTTTGGCAAATGGGAACACTACTTGAATCAGTAACAGCTTCACATCCAAAGATACAGGGACTGACCATGCGTGATGAGCGACGACCCGTCCAACTGGCCGGATTCAAACAAGCGCAGCAGCATAGGCGTGGAGGTCGTATCCACCAGCGAGGCATGGATACCTGCATTGTCAGCATGTCTTATACAACTAGACAAGAAATGAAGGGGATAAAGAAGAAAAGAACAAAGAAAGAAGGGAAAATACTAATATTCCGATCCCACAACCTCTCCAAATGCAAATCCACCTTCTTCCCATGCACACCCACATTGGCAATCGCGCCCCCAACAGCAACCACCTCCTGCGCCATCTCAAACGACCCAGGCACCCCAACCGCCTCAATCACCGAATCGAACCCCTTCCCCTCCGAGAACCTCATCAACTGACCCAGCGCCTCCTCATCCCCACCCTCCCCCGAACAATCCACAACCTCATGCGCAGCCCCCAACGCCCTCGCCATCTCCAACCGCGCCGCATTCCGATCCACAACCACCACCAACGACGGCGCATACAAGCTCCTTGCCATAACAGCAGCAGCCAGCCCCACGGGCCCCGCCCCAATAACAACGACACTGCTCGCAGGCTTCACCCCCGCAGGCTTAACGCCGCACTCCAGCGCCGTCGGAAACGCATCCGACAGCAGCGCCGCCGTCCGCGGCTTCACGAGATTCTCAGCGCCGTGCGTGCCCAGCTTGAACAGCGAGGACCGCGCATGCGGCACCCGCACATACTCCGCCTGCATGCCGTCGATGGTATTGCCCAGTATCCAGCCTCCTTCGTCGTCCTCGCAGTGCGAGTACAGCCCGCCGCGACAGGCGGGGCAGACACCACAGGCGGAGACGCACGACAGGATGACTTGATCCCCTGGGGACAGGCCGGACACGGCGGAGCCGAGGGAGTGCACGATGCCGACGCCTTCGTGGCCGAGGATGAGGCCCGGCTGCGCGGTGGAGACGTCGCCTTTCAGGATGTGTAGGTCTGTGCCGCAGATGGAGGAGTGCTGCATGCGGATGATGGCGTCTGTGGGGTGTGTGAGGGTTGGTGCGGGCCGCTCTTCGACGGTTATTGTGTTCGGGGCGGAATAGACGATGGCTTTCATGTTGGGAGGGAGTGGGCTGGGGGACGGCGCTTGGGTTTGTTTGAGCGTTGTGCTGCTTAGGGGCCGGAATGGGCGTGAATGGAGGCTTGTTGGAGGACGGGGGGAGTGGAGGATGGATCGGGGGAGGAGGCGGAGGCAGTTTCTTGTGTATTGAGCCATTGGATTTGTAGTATATGGTGTTTGATGAATAGTAGGTAACGATTGATTGAGGGGTGTGTGTTAAGGAGTGTACGATCTACTATATACGGTTGCGGATGATGATATCACGACTCGTTGCGACTACTACCTCACATTATATCATGTATGTATTGAGATCAACTCCGATTTCCACCCCAACTAGAAAGAGTGACTGACCGAATACATCAATCTCACTACCATATCAGACCTGTAATCAATCATCGAGGAACTCCCTCGTCTCCACCCCATCCCGCCCCTCCTCGACAGCCAGCATCGCCAACCGCCGCGCAACCTGGGCCATCCCCGCACTCCGCCACACCTGTGTATCAGGACAGCTCACATCCTCAGGGTCCGGCTCATTCGAATCGTCATAGTCCGTCATGTAGAAGCAGACTCCGGGCTCGCGCACAAAAGCAGGCTTATCCAGCACGACGGCGAACACCCGGTACGGACCCTTCAACATCGCCTGGGCGGTCGCGAGCCGGTCGCTACGTCTCTGGGGGGAGACACGAGCGGGATGTTCATTCGGAGGAATCGTATGGCGGGCGCCGATAGGAGAATTCTCGCCTTCTTCGTGACGGAGGGCGTCGTGGCCGCGGAGGGTATCGTCGTATGCGGGAAGAATGGCAGACCAAGACGGAGACGGCGGGATGCGGAATTCGAAATGTAGCTTTTCGAGGGGAGAGAGATGGTATACGATGGCTGCGGTGAAGAGACGGGCGGTCTTTTCTAGAAGCGCTGCGGCTTGGTCGTCCGCACCGAGATGGCTTAAAAAGGGCACGTAGAGGAGATACTGTAGGTCGGGCGCGGCATCGTCAGGCGTGTTGTTGACGATCACCGTAGAGTCGTCATCGTGCGAGACGCTGAACGCTTCATCGAGGGTCAAGTTGCTGTCGGCGAGCTGTTGATCGAGCTGCTGCTGGATGAGCTCCTCGGACGGGGGTGCCGATTCAGGAGGCTCGCCCTCGTACGTGTCCAGTCCGTAATGCAAAAACCGCTGATCAGGACCGAAACCCTTGCGGTTTCCAAAGACGTTGAGCACGGTGTGCTGGCCGATCGTCTCTTGGCGCCGGACGCGCGTGATGTCCATCTCAAAGGCCTCGGGGTAGAGCTCGCGGGGCCCGAACGAAGACGGTTGCGCGGCGGAAACTCGCTGGGCCGTGTCGACGGTTGGAAGAGCGTGAGCGAACGTGCGATTGAAGGCCAGCCAGTCTGGGGCTGGGCCTGCCGCGCGGTAGGCCTCCTCGTCGGTGATGTATCCCAGACGGTAGCTGTGGGAGTTGATGAGGACGCAGCACCCGATGGGAGACTCGTATCGCCAGTGGAAGAAGTAAGGGATCAGCGGGGCGGGGTTCAACGTGCTCAGCATGGCATGTTGATGCTTTCGAAAGGCGATCTCGCGGCGGTTGTGCTCGACGCAGGCGAAGGCGTTGGCGGGACAGTAGGAGTAGATCTCGAGCAAGGGCTTGGGGCCCTCGAAGGACCAGCTGCTCAGGAGATAGTCGCGCAGAGCTGTATGATCTTCGTCTAAGTGGACAGTGCTGTAGACCTGAATTGCCAACTGCTCTGTGGGTTCAGGGTCAACATTGGGCGTGATGTATTCTTCCAGCACTACCGGGTTGCCCAGATGGTCATCATAGTGACGTCGTTGTTGCCATTGCGGCCGTGGCTCGTTGGGATCGCGACGGCGTCTGGGGCGGAGCATTTTTCAGTCGTCGTTTGTGTGTAAATTGTTAGAAAGGAGAAAGTCAAGTGTGGTGTAGGGAGAGGAGAAAGGAGGGGTGAAAAGAGAAAGGGATGACGATGCAAGGATGGGATTGAGCAGGCAGACTCTGTTAGATAAGCCACAACACGCGAATCAAATGGGGAAACTGACCTTGATTCGGGCGACTATTTTTTTACTGTTTAATGGATTTCAACTGGATTAAATGAAGAAGCTGACTGCATTCTGCGGTGTTGACTACATATATCAACATCTATAGATCCTGACACAACGCAAACCCTAACACAACTGAGACACGGCCAACCATCCCCGACGATCCACCACTCCACTCCACTGATTCCTGCCAACCTCCCTAGTAGAGCTGGTGGTAGCCATTGCGATCAGCAAAGACAAGCCCGAGCCATTTTACTTTGGAGTTGCACTTGGTTCAGACGTGGTGGAACTCGCGGAGGAAGATGAATTCGAATCCGCTCCCCACCCCTTCATCTGGAGACAGTATCGCTTGTTCTTTTCAAACGAGCAGCTTGTGTCGTTACTTTTACCGCCGGAGCGCAGCGATGGGTTCCAGTCCAGAAGCTGCTTCTCGTTGATCTCCCAGATGACCTCCGCTGCCTTGCACGGGCTCACCCCAAAGTCATACTGCAGATCCCCGCCGTCGGCGTACACTTGACAGTCTTTGGCCGTACCTCGTGCCAGAGGCAACTTATGGGGTTTGAGAACTGGTTCATATGTCGCTGAAGGGAGAGTGTCCCAGGCGATGGTGGAATAAGAGGGAACATACCCCGGGGCACCGGGATAGTTGTTGATATCCTCCACCGGCGTCACGCAGTAGCTCACGTCGGAAAGAAGGTTGGTGCAGCTGGTCATCCAATCATATCAGCAATATGATCAAAAATTCTTCATAGCGATGGTGTAAAGAAGCCTACTTCGCGTTCAAACCGGGATTGAGAATCCCCAGGTCCTCCCTGCTGATACCAAATCTTTTCACCATGGTACTGCAATCCTCCCCCTTCTTTACGGCGTAGTATTTTCCACACTGTTTGGTTGTTTCATCCGCCACGTTGGTCGGCGTGGGAACAGCAGTGCTGGCAGTTGTCGCTGAAGAAACGCTGGTTGGAATCCCAACGGGTCGCGACGGCGGACGATATTTGTCTCCCGGCTCGTCCATGCAGATCTGTGTGCCGATCGTGCGGTTGAAGTTGTAGCAATTGCCGTCGATCCAGGGATTGTACGAACGGAGCTGGACGGTCGTAATCTTGTGTGCCTTGGCGACGCTCTTGCAAGTGTCGCCGTCCTTGACGGTGTAGACCGCACACTGGTTCATGATACATAGATCTCCCTTTGTGGGGAAGTTATGGCAGTAGGCCTGCAGTTCGTTGTCGAGAAGGAGTTGCATGGTGGCAACACTCTGAGACTTGGATACGGACTCGCAAGTATCTCCCTTCTTAATCGTATACTTCTTACCCTTGCAGGCGGAGCTTGTCGGTGTCGCTGACACCGAGGTGGAAGTTGAATTCTTACTTGTCGATCTGGACCAGTCAGCCTTCGCCCCGACCAGGAGGAGAGGGAGCATACGGAGAAGGCTTCGAAGTCGGAGGGGCTGTCACAGGATATCCGGTGAAACCACAGGAGGACGTGAAGCTAGGATAGGCTTCCGAGTACACCTTGGGTCCGCTCCCATACGGAAACTGAGCCTCGTTGCGCAGTTTCAACAGGGTACACTTGTGGCATTGATCCCCGTCATTCTTGGTCAAATTCCCCAAGACCAGGTTGCAGTATTTGCCCTCGTCCTTGAGGCAGGTCTGGTTGAAGTTGAAAACCAGCGTGCTTGCAACGGCAGAAATGGGGAAATCGTTCCCCCACTCGCTGGTATAGGTGACTCCAGGACATGCTTTCTTCACCGTTTGCTCGTACTTCTGGAGATTATCACGACACTCATCCTTACAGATGACATCTAGGCCATGCTGGGAGTAGTGGTTATTGGAACTCAGTCCGTGGACTGCTTTCAGGCAAGTGGTGATATTGGTCGACAGAGCATCCGCACACTTCTTTTCATATTCATCGACTGCCGAGTCTGGAAAGACCTGCCAGCACGTCGCAAGACTGCACCAGAGCAGAATAATTGACCACCAGGCGATTTTCATCGTAGCGGTAGTAGTAAAATCCGCTGGTCAAGTGGGACATCAACCGCGGGGACTCGTTATCCGCTTTGCATTTAAGGAAATAAATCGAAAACATTCCACAAAACGAACCCCTCTGGTCTCTCCGGCTAGTCAACCCGTGCACGAATTATGATTCCAATCTCGCCTGTGGATAACTAAGAAATTCTCCAGCCAGAGCTACCGAGTAAGATGCTTTTGCGCCCTCTCCTCCCTCATCTCGACATTCCAATATCAAAACCCTTGCAGCACGTGTCTCACTGCCATAACATGAGTCTCTGACATCGAGGGGTTTCCCGAGAAATGCGAGCCCCGAGAAAATGTAAGCCTCCTGCTTACACCTGCATTAGCTCAAAACTGAGACGAGGTACCTGACCTTGGCCCTTCTAAAGCATCCCGAACTGAGACTAAATCAACCCTTGCTGGCTCGACGAATTTTAGGCCGCGTATCACCTCCTTTGTATGATAGAAGTTCCACATGCCAGGAATCTCATTTGAAATCCTCGAAGTTATGCACGCAAGGCTGTGTAAGACGTATTCTTGGGCGTCGAATGAGAGGGGTTATTCGGCGTTGAGCCTCGATGGGAGAGAGACCAGTATTTAGCACATCATGGCCCGGTTCCCCCGGAGTTCCTTGGGCTACATCAATCCAAGTCTCCTTGGCCATGGCTCGAGGGATACTGAGTCAGATTCTTGTCGCGTTTTTCTTCCTCTCCAGCGTCCTCGCTGAGGTGGACTCCGTGGACTCCGCTGACTCCGTTGACTACTTTGACGACATCCGGGGTGTATCTCTCGCACCGCTCCGGACGCTTCTCCAGAATGATGAATACGTTTGTAGCAAGAAAAAGCCTTGCAAAAATGGAGCCTGCTGCGGCAAGTCCGGAAACTGCGGCTACGGCAAGACCTACTGTGGTACGACTGGTAAATCGCCCAACGACGCCTGCTGGAGCAACTGCGATGCCCACGCAGAATGCGGCAAAGACGCTAAGAAAAAGGGCACCAAATGCCCTCTGAACGTCTGCTGCAGCGAGTATGGCTTCTGCGGAACGACAGAGGAGTTCTGCGGGAAGGGGTGCCAGAGTAACTGCAAGCAGCCGGGTTCTGGCGCGTCTGATGGAAACGTGCAGGAGCGCATCATCGGGTATTATGAAGCGTGGAACCATGGCAAGAGCTGCATGGGCATGAAGATCCACCAGATCCCTGTAGAGAGCTTGACCCATGTGAATTGTATGTTCTCCATTTTCCTCTTCTCTTTCTTCCTCACCTCCTTTTTCAAGACATGCTAATGAAGAATGAATGGAAGATGCCTTCGCTTATATCTCCCCGGATGACTATGAAATCGGGCCCATGCCTGACGTTCCGGAAAAAACACTCAAGGAGTTTACCTCCTTGAAAGAGCGTAATCCGAAAGTGGTCCTGGGGGTCTCGTTGGGTGGCTGGACATTCAATGACAATCACACCGACACCCAGGCGGTCTTTGCAGACCTCAGTTCCACAGACAAGAAACGTTCGAAGTTCATCAAGAACCTTCTCTCGTTCATGCGCCACTATGGTTTCAACTCCGTCGATATCGACTGGGAATACCCCGGCGCGCCAGATCGCCAGCCGCCCAGCTGGGACGGAAAGAACGACGGTAAGAACTATGTGAAGCTGATGAAGGACATCCGCAAGGCTTTCAAAGACGAGGGGCTGGACTTCGAGCTGTCCTTCACAGCACCGACCTCGTACTGGTATCTTCGCTGGTTCGAAATATACGAGATGGTCGAAGCCTCCCACTACGTCAATTTGATGAGTTACGATCTCCACGGGATATGGGACGCGAACAGCACGATTGGCAAACACGTGCTGGGACACACCAACCTAACCGAGATCGACCTGGCTCTTGACCTCCTGTGGCGAAACAAGGTGCCTGCGAAGAAGGTCAATATGGGCCTAGCCTTCTACTCCCGCACCTTTGAGCTCAAGGATAAGAGATGCGACGAACCAGGCTGTATCTACAAAGGCGGCGGCAAGAAGGGCGCCTGCACCGATGCCACCGGAATTCTCGCTTACAGCGAGATTGTCGATATCATCGCGCGGGACGACCTGACTCCGGTGTATGACAAGGAATTCGCGATCAAGTACATTGTCTGGAACAACCAGTGGATCTCGTACGACGACCAGCAAACCTTCCAACAGAAGATCAAGTTTGCCAACAAGAAGGGCCTGGGTGGTCTTCTGCTCTGGGCCATCGACCAGGATGATCGCAATCGCGACGCCTTGCGCGGCGTGCTATACCCGCAGGACCTGGTCATGTCGGACAGTCTCAAGGACGACACCAGCTACTGGGAGAGTCAACACCCCGGAAACTGCGTAACGACGGAATGCGGCAAGAAGTGCGGCACCGGATACATCGAGATGACCGATTTCGACTGTCCTGACGGCGGTGGCGTCTCGCGTATCTGCTGCCCTATATCCGCCGCCCCGGACCCAGAGACGTGCAACTGGCGCGGTGGGCCTCCATTGTGCAATGGACAGTGCCATGGCGGAGAGGTAGCTCTGGCTTCCGCAGTGGATGGAGGCAATGGACACTGCTCGGACGGTAAGTCGTCTCTTCTTCATATCCTGGATCCCTTTGGCTCCCTTGCCAGATGTCTAACAAGAGCAGGTCGTCAATTCTACTGTTGCCCTATCCCCGAGGTCGCTGCTGGCGGTGGCATCAACTGCGGCTGGAAGGACCAATGCGGGGATGATCAGGAAATCATGACCTTCGCAGGAACGTTCCTGACCACAATATCAGACACGCTGGATTTTGGCGGGCTGGTGGGTCAGGCCCTAGGGGATATTCTGGACGACATCGACATGGACAACAGACGGTCATACTGCTGCTCCAAAAAAGAGATTAAGAACTGGAAAGACTGCTACTGGGCGGTGGGTTCCCCTTCTTCCTAGGCCTCGAACCTAAGCCTCAGTACAAGTGTCTAATAAGAGAAACAGGGAGGGCCAGGCCGTGGGATTCACAGCTGCGATGATAACCATTGTGAAACCGGGATCGAAGTCGAGCTCACGCTGAGTCCCTACGGTGAAGGAGAGGACTGCTTCCCCACGTTAGTCTTCTTGCGGTTTTTTCCCGTCATTCTTTGCCGGATTGACAGCTAACGGATGGATTTTTTTGTCTTTTACAGTGCCCGTCAGAGAGCCTTCTGTTGCACGCCGGAGAGTGGCGAGACTCCATTCCTCCCCGTGCCGCTGGAATATCTGTTTCCAAATCCGCCCCTGGGTGACTCGGACGACCCGGATTTCAACCTGCAGATCGACGATACCTGGGGCACAGGCGACACGAAAGTGGACGATGAAGATGAGCCGGATGTATGCACCCCTTTGTCCTGTAGTACAAGTTGACAAATGCTAATAATAATCCAAGGACGCTGCCTTTGGCTTCGTGGTGATCACTGCCCCCGACGAGGTGCACGTCAGTCTAGACAAGAGGGATGGATCCCCATGGGAGCTGATGGGCTGTCCCGATAGCGAGAGCGAAGAGGCACACACCGTCCGAATGATCTGCGCTGATCCTACCAGCGGTCGATGTGATCACATCCACCGCGGCGATGGTGTCCCCGGGACCATCCTCCAGATGCCTCCTCGATGTGGTCCCGGCCGCTACGCAGTCGCCAAGTCGTTCGACGTCTCTGAGGACCAGTCTCTCCCGGGCCATCTGGCGCACGTCAAACGGGATCTGGGCGGCGCCTCGGTCTACGACCTCACGTTCGACTATGACTTCCAGCGCGTGCCACGTGCCTATGGCGAATCCCAGATGCGGATCGACTTCAGTAACCAGCCGGGATATTGGGACTCCGTGGTGGACCGGCCTGCGGAAGGGAAAGACGAAAGACACATGAATAAGATGAAGCGATCTGAGACAGGTTACCATAAGAACCGCAAGCGCTGGATCGAGGACGAATGGCGGGATGCCTATCATCATGGTGGCATGGACCGTGACCAACTGCATAAGCGATGGTTCGGAGAGGGTGTCCTCAACTGGCTGGCAAACTTGATCGTTGTCGGCAAGGCTGAGGTCACCGAAGAGCTCAACCATAAGGTCAATGAGAAGGTCGAACTCGTTTTGATTGATCAACAGTTTGGGCCATGTCCGGTTGGCCCGGCACAGGTTCGTTACTTTGCTCCCTCCTTCATTCTGGCATTGTCGTCGGGAAGTGTCTATTAACAGGAACACAGGCCCAAGCGAATATCCGGTCAACGATCACGGCAGAGCTCGATGTCGAGACCTCTTTCGGCTTGACCATCATCACGACGCTTCACGACGGCCTGAACCTCAGCAACTCGTATCTCTATTTCAAGAACAAGGGTGAAGTGAAGGCCAGATTCGAACTCGATGCAGTAGCTTCCTTGACTTACTCTACGGGCGATATCAAGTTGCTCGGCCTGGACGACTTCCCTGGCGCCACCTTCCGTGTGCCAGGGGTAGTTACCGTCGGTCCAAACCTGGCAGTGTATGCCTCGGCGGATGCCTCCCTCGTAGTATCCGGTCATCTCGAAGCAGCTGTGACGCTCGCCTCCTGGGAAGTGCAGCAGACCTACCCTCAGACCAAGGAACACCCAGCCGAAACTCTCGACAAGCCAGACCGCGACGGCACACAAACCATCGGCGATCCCACCTTCGATTTCTCCGTGCAGGCCCACGGCGAGATCGCCCTCCACCTTAAACCCACCGTGACCTTCGGCATCGTCTTCGACAAACGTTGGAAGGTCGACCGCTGTTCGGCGGACCTCGTCCTCGATGGATACATCGTTGCGCACGCTGATGCCGGGTATTCTCGCAAGGGCGACAACAGTTGTCCCTTCCACTATGGAATCGACGCCGGTTCAACCATCTACGCCCAGCTGGCGGCCCCCGATATGTTCGGTTGGGGCGGCGAGCACCGCGTCACGCTGTCCGAGTCGCCTCGAAAGCAGATCACCCCCGACACCTGTCCCAAGGAAGAGGACGAAGATGAGAAGAAGAAGAAAAAGAAGAAGTCGACGCCCAAGCGCGCCACAGTCGATGCCCTCGACCTCGCAGGCGAGTATCTTTCCCCCGCGGTCCGGGGGAACGAAGCGCTGAAGATGCTGAGCCCCATGCATGGCAAGCGGGACACCCTGACCCTCGGCCCGCTCGTCACCATCCCCGACAGTTTCCTCAACTGTCCCAGCGACGCAAATAAGTCCAACGGGTCGGCGTGTGCCTTGTGCTCCCTGTTCGGCGAGTCCGACGACAGCAAAAGCGAGAAGAAAGCAGCGCTCCTGACAAGACGCGATGGGGGTGACTCTTGCCCCTACTATCCACCGGGAGACAATGCGCGATGCTCCAACTCCGACTTCACTTCTCGGGACCCGCAAGACGATAAGACGATGACTCTGTCATGGCTCGGGTCGGATAAGTACGTATACTCGAAGTATCCGCGCTGTAACGCGAAGAACAACGGGCCAACCAATGTGGCCAAGGTACGCTACTCTCCCCAATCATATATGTACCCTACATCGTAAATTTGAACATCGACTGATCATCGGTAGTGGTACCTGCCGGAATTCATGACCGCCAACCAGAATATTGCGGTCAGCGACCCAACACGGTGCTCCGCAAAGACCATCAAGCAATCCACCACGCAGGTTGGCAGCGACTGGCTGGTCAATGGACTGGCTGGCCTCCCCACGAGTGACTTCCGAACGGAGCACATCTTCGAAGTGCACTTGGTCAAGCATTTCCTCGAGTGGGTGTGCGCGGGCAGCCAGGAGCTCTCGTACACAGGTCTGACCAAACTCCCATTTCCGAAGAAATGGAGTCGCCCAGACCACCAGTGGTGCGAGGATCTATTCGGAGGTTCGTATTTGTTAAGCCCGAGCTCACACTACGTGATGTGATGGATAGCGGAGAAAAGGGAGAATGAATGAAAGACGGAAGAGCTGACGCAAGTATTAATCACAGACCCGGAGAGCGGTGGATTGGCGTGGAAACAAAACGGCAAAGGCCCGGACATCAACTGGATCCAGCAGACAGCCAATGTACTGGGAAGTAACGACAAAGACGACCTGCTGGTCATGTACCACGACAAGCCAAATGGGGTGAAGAAGGTCATCACCGAAGGCCACAAGCCGGGATACGGGACTGCAAACGAGAAGGGTACAGCGGATGCGATCATGATGGTATGTCTCTTCACCTTCACCATTTCTTCTCAAATCCAGGACTATAACATGCATCGATACTGACTGTGGATTGCCATCCAGAGTGCCACCGTCTTTGACTACCTCCGCACCCTCGAATCCAAATGGACCAAACCCTCCAAAGACATCGAGAAGATCTGCGACGACTTCGACAAGCAGTACGAGTCGCGCAAGCCCTTCCAAACAACCGGCAAAGAGCTCAAGATGCCCGCGAAGCCCACAGGAGTAACCAGCTGGGGTCTGCGCACGCTCTGGTGCTACTGGATCGACAACCACCTGAGCAAGGTTGAGCAAGTCCAGTCGGCATGGCTCACGGCCTCCAGGTCCAAGATGGACGGGTTTCAGACGCAGCCGGCGACCGACTTCATCACCCAGGTCATCGACTCGGCCACGGGCGCAGCCTATAGCAGCAAATTCAAGTTTCCGCAGCCCAACGCGGGCAAGGCGCTTCCTGGGCAGCCTGGAGGCGCGGCGAATGACGTGAGTTTGTATGGCATGTGGGGAGGGAATGGGTTGGGCAAGGTCGGATTATAGTGCTACCTACATCATTAGTAGTATATAGTTATCCAATGTAGTAGCTTCCTGCCGAGTCATGTAACGATATCGCCTTCTTTGATTGATTATGTTGTCCCTCTGATGTCACGGTCAGTCGAAGAACCGGAATCCGAAGATGTAGCCCTGACGTCACCGGGCATATTGTGTACCCTGGATAGATCATATAAAGACTCACCTGTATCTTTCTCCCCGGTGCACTTACAATACTGCACAGACCCTTGTTTAACAGACCAAGACCAAGAAAGAAGAAAATGTCCTCCACAATTCACACCAGCGCCGGCGACAAGCCCGTCGACCCCTACAAGGCCAAATCGCTGCAAGACCCTCCTCTGCCGCAAAAGATCGAAGACCTGACGACCTTCATCTCGAGCACCAAATTCGGGATGCTCACCACGCAGTTGCCCAATTCAGAGTTCCTGACGTCGCGGTGCATGGCACTCGCCGGGATGGTACTTCGCTTCCCCCTTCCACCCAAACCCACAGCTTCCCAAAACATGCGATAAAGATGTACTCACAAGAATGAACGGACAGGAAAACGGCGGCATCGACCTCATCTTCCACACGAACCTCTTCTCCAGCAAGACCCTCGATCTCAGCCTCCACCCTTCCCAAGTCAACATGTCCTTCTACGACCCCGTCAGCGGAGGCTGGGCGTCGGTGTCCGGCGTCGCCAGTATCATTTCCGACCCCGCCACCGTCGAGAAATACTATTCGCCTGCGCTGTCCGCCTGGCTCGGTGACCTCGGAGATGGCGTGCACGACGGGAGTCCGTCTGATCCGCGCATTGGCGTCATCAAGCTGGAGGCCCGGCTGGCGACGTATGCGATTGCCAAGCGTGGTGCGATCGGCCGGGCGGTCGAGACTGTGAGGAGCGTTGCTGGTGGGGATGTCCCTGCTGTTAATAGTATTAGGGAGTTGAGCTCGGAGGAGCTGCAGGAGTGTATGTTCCTTTTTTTTTCGCCCCTCTCTTTCCTTTTAGCTTAATTTTTGGAGATGGATGCTAACCTTCATTCTAGGGCGTCGGACTCACGCGTGATTGGGATATTTAGGTCTAGCTTGTATGTTGATGTAATAATTAAATTCATTGTCCCATAATGTACAGTGTACGGTCCCCGGACCTAAAGCTCCCGACTCCATGGGTGTATAATCAAGGGTTAAAAACAATAAGGAACATCGCTCTCGTTGCGTCGTAAGTGTATGAAACACAGATCAAATCTGCTTGTGTTAGTACACCAGAAATACGAAGTGATATCAACGAAGATATGATCAGTAGAGAAACGTACCAGTCTCAGTGGCATCCGCGCTGGTAACCGCCCATTGTGCAGCAACATTGCGATGTTCTTGTTGGGCGTCGCCTGCAGCTTGCGGTATGCCTCGCGGATATGTCGCGGCTCCACCGGCGTGCGGCCCTCCTCGGGAGGATCAAACAGACCAGTTTCGCGTTTGCGCTTCTTAGCACTCTCGCCGTTGTCCGCTCCGCCGCGGCGGTTCTTCTCGCGATCCTCGCGCTCCTTCACCTTGAGCGCCTCTTCCGTCAACGTCTGGACGATCTCGAATGTAAGGAATCCCAGGATATCGACGATGTCATCGTTGGGCTTGGACTCGGTGACGATGCCGAATCCGGCCCATTCGCGGAACCGTTTGCTCTTACGGTAGGTGAAGGACGCCTGGCGACATTCCGACCAGAACACGTACTCCTCCTTGGTCATGTGCTTGGTGCGCTCATCCGCCGCTGCCAGCCGCTGCAGCGTGGCGTAGTTTTGCTCCTCCTCTTCTTCGTCTTCTTCGTCGTCGCGCTCCGGAACCTGCACCGAGTAGAAGCTGTTCACGTCCCACGCGAGACCGACGCGCGCTCTCTTGTTCTTCGGCTTGGCGGCCATGTCCTGCGGCCCCGCAACCCCTCCGGCCATGGGATCGTCCGCTCCGGCAAAGTCCGCCGCGTCGGCCCCACCCTTGTCGTCCGAGTCTTTGACATTCTTGCGCACATCTTTCCAGGATAGGAACGTCTTCAGACGCGAGACCTTGGCTTTGTCGTGGCGGATCAGGAAGATCAAATCATCGGTGGAAATGGAGCGGACTCCGCGACGTGTGGCTAGAGCTGTGCTGCGCGCAAGCTGGACGGAGTTAGTCTGGGCCTTCAACGCAACCGGAGGGAACATACAATCTCAACGACCTGCTGGCGAACGATTTCCTCAATCAAAGTGGTCGTATCTACGGCTGGCTCGGCAGTCTCTCCAGAGACGAACATCATCTGATGGAGAAGGTTAGTAAGAGTGGCCCTAAAGATTTCCTCTGGGTCCCTGGGCTCTTGAGGGGGCTGATCAGTCGGTCCGTCTCCAGCCTCAGAGCTAGAACACTCCGCATCAGAGGTTGGAGCACTAGAGGCTGCCCAATCCCTCTTGTCGGATGAAGCCTCTTTAGGCCTGGTGGCTGAAAAACTCATGATACCGGGAGGAGACGATCAACCCGTTGCTGTTGAGGCTGAAGACAAGCTGACCAGAAGAGATAGCAAGGGGGAAACAGGACAAAATCAAAGAAAGTGTCATCGTCAGGACAGCACTCTGGACTGCCTAATGCGGAAAATATGCGCAGAAAGCAAATGCTCACTTGTCCTAATATCAAATGCACCAGAACGAGGCCAGACGCGCAGGATCAGGAGAGCAGCCCCTGATAGAACGTGGGCTGTATTGCTCTCCAGGGCTCGGGTTTGCTTCCAACTTGCATTACATGATAATGCGACAGTAGTCCTAAAGAAAAAGTGACCTACCTGCTGGATTTCCTGCCGATACTTGGGGGTCTCATTCGACATGATGGAGATGGATATAGCGACTGGACATGTTCTAACAAGGCTGACAGCAACAACAGACGTCTTTCATTCAATTGCGACAGGTAATAGAGACCCAATAGGTTGCAGACAAACAAAAGAAGGTAGAGATATAAAAAACGAAGGTATAGACCAAGAGGAAGCCAACAAGGAAAGAAGATGGAGAGATGATGCTGGACCGCCTGGACGCGATCGGCCCGTTCCTTATCCGGATCATCGGTTTCTCCAGCCTCCGCCATCCCGCCGCATTCTGGTGGGGTCAGAAAATCTTCATTTCAATCGGTAGTCCAATTCCAGCAATTGATCAATTTGCTACTTTTAAAAACTCCTACGACATAATGCTGTACCTTGTGGGTTTAGGTCTCGCCGATGAGAAGGACATCACCGTCCGGGGCCTGGAGGTGGTGAAGAAGGCCGAGCGCGTGTACCTGGAGGCGTATACGGCCATTCTACTAGTGGAGAAGGAAAAGCTAGTGAGTGTCTTCTACGACCGATTAATGGTGACCTCCCAAGGCGATCATAGCTAAATAACAGTCGGTTCAGTAGGAAGCGTTCTACGGACGCCCCGTGATCGTGGCGGACCGAGAGCTCGTCGAAAGCGGCAGTGATGAGATCCTCGCGGGATCCGACAAGGCGGACATCGCTTTTCTGGTAGTGGGCGATCCATTCGGGTAGGTCAATAAGTCTCTAGTGGATCTGGATCTGGGAAGGTTGACAGGTGAACAGCGCGACCACGCACACCGACCTCGTCCTGCGCGCGCGCGAAATGGGCATCGCGACCAAGTCTATCCCCAACGCGTCGATCATGTCCGGCATTGGCTGCACCGGCCTGCAGCTTTACAACTTCGGGCAGACGGTCAGCATGGTGTTCTTCACGGAGAACTGGAAGCCGTCGTCGTACTACGACCGTGTCAAGGAGAACGTCCAGCTGGGATTGCACACGCTTGTCCTGCTGGATATCAAGGTTAAGGAGCCGTCGCTGGAGAACCTGGCGCGCGGGCGCATCGTCTACGAGCCCCCGCGGTACATGACGGTCGCGCAGTGCGCCGCCCAGATGCTGGAGACGGAGGAGGAGCGGAAAGAGGGCGCCTGGGGGCCCGACAGCCTGGCGATTGGGGCTGCGCGAGTCGGCGCGGACGATCAGAAGCTGGTCGCGGGGACGCTGAAGGAGTTGGCGGAGGTGGACATGGGTCGTCCACTTCACAGTCTCGTCCTCCTGGGTCGGAAGGCACACGATCTGGAGAAGGACTACATCCGTGAGTTTGCTGTGGATGCGGCCACCTTTGAAGCTAGTTGGCAAAAGGGGTACGGCGCCACCTCGTAACGGGGGATTGGTTCAGCAGACAACGACCGACATACGAATTCAACCCAAACGCCATGAAATTCTTATTATGACAAAATAGCGCTAAGACATCCTTGTACATCGCATCTCGACGTGGAAGCAAAAGCATGCCCTCAGACGGCCTTTTTGGTGAAGAACCGGGCCAGCTTGCCCGACAGCTGAGCCTAATTGCAGTCAGTAGCAGTTGCGCACGAAGCAGCTTCGCATGGAAGAAACAAAGCAAAGCTCTCCGGCAGACAGTAAGCAAGTAAGAAGATAAACTCACCGTAGGAGTCTGCGGCGTCTGCGGCTCGCGCTCATTGTCCTCCCCCTCATCCATATACTCATCGTCCTCCTCATCCAGCACACTATCATCGTCTTCCTCATACTCGGGAAAATACCGCTCCGGATCCCCATTATACACAATCCACCACCCAATTTTCTCGCCCGCCGCATACTTATCGCGCATCTCCGTCAACGCGGCCATAGCCTCGTCATCAAGCCCAGAGTCCAGGGACGCGATCTCGTCGGCGCTCCAGCTCAGGCCCGGCGCAGGCGCCCCGGGCTCTCCCAGCGCGAGACAGCGGCCCGCGACGTAGGCGAAATCCTTGCTGACGGCGGTGTCGCCCGTATCTTCAGGGTCGTACTGTTCGATGAAGCGCAGCTCGGGCAGTCGCGATACGATGCCGGGCTCGGTTTTAGCGAACGACTCCAGCAGCAGTTGGGTGGTAATGGGCTTCTGGAGATATTCGGCGGTTGCGTCTTCGAGGTTATGCAGGACGATGTAGACACGGATGCCTGTGAAGCCGGCGCGCGGCCAGCGGAAGCCGTAGACCATATAGACGGGCATGGTTTTCGGGTGCTTGAATGATGTTGAGAAATTGAGGATGGCTTGATTTCGGGACTGAGAAGGGAGGAGGTTGGGGGAATTCGGGGATCGTAATCGTTTTGGGTCTCGTTCGTCGCGTGTTGGTCGGTGGCTGCTGACTGCTGGCTTAGATGCGGTGCGGATGCCCGGATGCCACGTGGAGTATGTTCATGTTATGGCTGTAGGCGTAGAATGCAGCTGTCAGACAGAGGATGATGCATTCGTGGGCTTCGTCTCACAATGAGCCGTCGGGATCGAGTCATTGGTGCCCGTTTCCTGCGGCATGCGGCGCCAAGCCGATCGGATCGATAGATCAGCTCTCTTGGGCAGCATCCACGGCTGTATAGACGATATACTATCCAATTAAATACAACTGGGGTCTCAAGAGCAATAAGATATATACAGAAATATATGTATATTTTTAATCATTAACCACTTCAACCAGGCGTGTCTTAAGGATAGACAGAAGATAGTAGATAGACAAAGGCGGTGTGCCGGCAGTATGAGTCCAGGCCCGCCGCATTCAAGCGGAGCTGCGGAGAACCTCCTGGAAAAGCATCCAGATCACAGCAGTCCCTTGCATCAGCATCGCCGGGGATCTCATGTGTCGGGATGGTTCTCTCATTCATTCTCGTTCAGAACCGACAGTATGTGGTCCCGTGGTTACTGTGCATAGCATCGCACCCAGACTGACAACCGATCAGGGGCAAGACACGACTTGCCAAGTGGTACGCTCCGTATAGTGTGAGTCGCCCCCTCCCCCGCCCTCGGACTCACTACGATCAGAACTGGACGGAAGCTAACGGAGACTGTGGTACAGGATGAGGAGAAGATAAAGCTCAAGGGCGAGGTTGGTGCTACCCATCCATCATTCATCCACGGTGACGCAACTGTCGCCATGTCAAGCGGTCAACCGGCCTCAGTTACTAGATACTGAACGACACTCTCAGGTCCATCGGTTGGTGGCGCCCCGCGACCAGAAATACCAGTCGAACTTTGTCGAATTCAAGCGCAGCACCAAGGTCGTGTACCGGCGGTATGCGGGGCTGTTCTTCTGCGCGTGCGTCGATGCGACAGACAACGAGTTAGCATACCTGGAGGCGATTCACTTCTTCGTCGAGGTGCTAGATCAGTTCTTCGGGAACGTGTGCGAGCTGGACCTGGTGTTCAATTTCTACAAGGTGTGTGTGGACGGAGAATGGTGCAATCGCGCGCTGTCGTATCTTTGAAGATGAACCGGTCTGGGGTCCGAAGCTGACTGATGATAGGTGTATGCTATCCTCGACGAGGTCTTCCTCGCCGGCGAGATCGAAGAGACGAGTAAACAGGTCGTCCTGACCCGGTTGGAACATCTGGACAAGCTGGAGTGACGTATCAATGTGTTTGGGGTCACACCCGCCGGAGGTCGCATTGGATGGGCTATGGGAAGAGAAGTGGCCATAATATGGAGTTGGCGTTGCGGGAATCCTATACTATCGTTCCATGGCGTTGTGATTTACTACTGTTCCTTGTGATATTTGCCTCTATATTGCCAAGTTCTGTACTATTAAGCTCTACCGTCACCTGTATAGATGACCCGATCAGATAATATAATACCCACCAAACACCCTTTTTTTTATTTTCAATATTCTAAAATTAAAAACTAAAAAACTAAATCAATTATTCGGATTGGACTGAACCAAATTGGTCAGAACCCTAGGTCAACGACCGTGGAACCCAACGCCCAGTCCGGGGTAAACGCGCTCGGGTTGTACAGTACCTACAGGGCTGACAACAACAGCCGACATCAGATGCCGTGATGCTGCGACAAGCGGAGTCTACACCCACCTGCACCCAGCACGCCATTGCCCTGTCAATTAAGCTCAGATAACATTTCGGAGCTAAATGTAGCTTGTCTGGGAGTGTACAGCGGTGGTAAATTCAGTAATATGGGTGCCCCAGGCCGAGAGCCAGTGGACATGGTCTCCAGGTGAGGTGATCGTGCCTGAGGATTGCGAACGTATATAACTTGTCTTGGCGGGCATTTCTTTTATAAGGGCTTTCGCACGCCACATTTGGGTTCTCTTTTTTATTTTTCTTTCTCGATGCTCTTATGAATTGATCATTAGGTTGATTATCCCGTTCTCTATTGCCATAGTCATGATCATGAGGGTTACTACTATCATCTGCATGGACCGATCCCCCTAACCTCACTTCCTGGATGGAGGCCACATCCCCCCCCCAATGGCCTAACCTTCGGGGGCCCCCTCCCCTGTATGGAGGGACTCCTCTTTACCAGCCCGCCAATTTTCCGACCTTCCACCGTCCCCCAACTCCAACGATCAATACTGTCCACAGTCGTTCCGTCACAGTACGTCTCCATACAGACGCATACATACATACGGAGCACATACCGCGGGAAATACCGGCCCAGTCGAAAAGCCCATCCGTCGCAGCCAAATTCGACCTCCGTAACGGAGACAAAAACAGAATGGCAGGAAAGAAAATTGAAGATCGTCATTTGACGAACGAACCCTGGCCACCTATGGGAAGTCGGTGACACCGCGGCTGCGTACCCCACCGGGAGTTTAAAGGTTTCCAGTTAACTGTCCGCCCCCTCCACCGGCCGTGCTAAGCCGTCTTGGCATAATCATTATTGAAGATGAGAAACTTGCTGGTGATGCTAGAAACAAGGCGATCTCCGACGGCGAAGGACGGGAGACTGCAATTACACGATTGGTGGGAAGGGGTCAAGGAACTCAAGATGCTACATGGGGGAACGGGGGGACTGGACGGACGGAGATGGTGGCCATTACTTGGGGGGATTAGCGCGAATGCTATCTGGACGGGAAAACTGCTACGGTCACGGAGGATGGAAGTGAAGGTGAAGATGAACATCAGACAAGCAATTTCCTGCCACTGAAGCCGGTCGACCATTGGATGTCCACGCCAAAAACAAAAGTCAGGGAAAAAAGACGCAGAAAGGCCAACGAGCGTGCTTTGAGAGACCCATCATATGGACCGCCGCCGGATTCGGTAGGAGAAGTACCCAGCCGTGCCACCTCTATACTCCACACTTGGCGGGTAGTTAGTGTGAGTTCTGGACTGACTTACCTTCTCAGGTACGGAACGGATACTTTTGGGGACACGTTTTGTGTCAAACGTCCAGTCTGTGAAACCAGAAGCCAGACGGATTCATGACTCCTGAAACGAGCCAGTCTCTGGTGGGGTCTCATCTGTGATCGGGACTGATATCCACAAAGCCTTATCTCATGTATTTTGACCATCACGGAGTCCTTGCGGGTATGAAATCCTAGGGGATCAGTAGCTTCCAGATGATACCGAGGACGTCCCAAAGAGGTGTGCTAGCGACTTGAACCACACGGGCCCCGAAGCAGATGGGGAAAGAGAAAAACGCACCAAAGAAGACAGAAAGGATAGAAGGGAAATCAACCTGACACGATGTGGAGAAGAGACCCGTTTCACGAACCTGGTCCTGTCCGGAAAATGGAAATGGTACGCGTTGCCTCTGGAGTGTACAGCCAATGAGGACTCGAATCCTTCCCCGACGCACGGTACTCCTTTATGTTTTATTCCTTTTTTTTTTTCTCTCAGGCCTTCGAGATGCCCTACAGCCTTGGTGAAGGACCCACTGATCGGCAGCTTGAGGACTTCTCCTGCATTCTAAGACGGGGAAGATCTCACCACCAAAAAAGCCATACGGCGGATCGCTTGTGTTCGCCGACCGGGTCTTGGCAGTCCCTTCCCCTGTCTTACTTACTAGGGGGCGTTTGACCAAGTTCCAAGTTTCAATCCCGCGGCAATAATGCAGTCTGGATAACAAGAGGCTGGCCACCTCTGACAGGAAAACCTTAATGAATCCAACCGCGGGTCCTTGATGGAAAAAAGAATAAGGCACGCGTGTCTTGGCAGTGACTGAACCGTGGGAACTCCTTCGGAACCAGTCGTTCAGAAAACCCGCCTCCTGACTATCGTTGTTCTTTTGGGCCGATCCCCATGACGTGGACTGTTCTTTTTTTTTCCCTTTCCCCTTAGTCCTCATTCGGCTTTGAGTTTCCACCGTATCTGCCTCTTTGGTCCAGAACGTGGGTGAACCCTCTCCTTTCTCGAAGGTTGACCAGAGGCGATATGATACATGGCGCACCGTCGGGCTGTGGAAGAAATCCCCGTTTTGGCCGGCTAGTGGATGTATCCCATTGGACCAGGATCGGCATGAGAAGACATGTATCGACTTCTCGAGAATCCCTGATCGGTCCATGAGAGGGGACGGAATAGAATGATCGAATCGCATGTGCATGGTTGCCACATCCGGATTGACTTCCATGCAGGCCCATCGTCCGGAAGGGTAATCTGGGTCAAATCACTGACAGATTGATTGGATTTTAATTAATTACATTCACAGATTTAGTAGATGGAATTCAAGTGGAAAAGAAGTGTTACGTGGAGGACCATTCGGGTCCTATTGTCCATGGGCCACTAGGAATTCAATCTCAACCCCAGAACCATCACTTTGTTTTTTATGGTCTTTTTTTTATTTATTTATTATTCATTATTTATTTGAATTTATTTATTTTTGATTATTATTTTCTATTCTTGATCATGACTCTCCTTTTTAATCTCTTCATCTTCCAGTCCACTTTTTCTTTATCTTCTTCGCTCTCTCCTTCAATTACCTTCTGTCGTTCTCTTTTTAATCTTGGTCTCTTCCCCGACCTTCGTTGACTTTGTTGTGTTCTCTCATTCCACTCCGCCCTTCTTTATCCCTCGGATCGGTATACTTACGGCTCTTATCTAGCCGTCCGTCCTTCGCTTCCATCCCACCCCTCCCCCTCTATACCATCGTATAATTTATCCCACCATGTCGTTGATCCACTCCGACAACCTGGCGCCTCAGCCTGCTACGGATATCTTCACCGATGACACCTGCATCGATAGGCGCAAGTGCCACCGCACCGTGCCCATGAAGGTGCTGGCCCTGGGTGTGGGCCGAACAGGAACTGCCTGTATGTGCAACACGACTCTCCGTCCCCCCGGATTACAGAACACACACTGACGGATGTAGCTCTCCGCATTGCTCTGGAGCGTCTGGGCTACATGCGATGCTACCACATGATGTGCGCCAGTATGGAGAACCCGCCCGACTGCCTGATGTGGCACGACGCCCTGGCGGCCAAGTACGACGGCGTGGGTGAATTCGGTCGCAAGGAATGGGACCAACTGCTGGGTGACTGCCAGGTATTCATCATCTCCATCCTGTTGAAAGAGTTCAACTAACTCAATCCCTCCAGGCTGTCTGCGATTGGCCCGCCTGCGCGTTCGCAAAGGAACTCATCGAAGCCTACCCCAACGCCAAGGTCATCCTGACCACCCGCGAAGTCGACTCCTGGCACGCGTACGTCACTTCCCTTTAACCATCCAACCTATCGACAACTTGCTAATCCCGTCCGCTACAGATCCGTCATGAAGACCGTCCACTGGCGCGTCTCCGACCCCGAACACAGCTTCGTCTCCAACTTCAGCTGGGCCGCCAGCATGTACTACCCGATGCTGAGCAAGTTCTTCGAGACCTTCTTCCGCGGCGACTTCCCCAACAAGGGCAAGCAGGTCTACGAGGACCACGTCGCCTTGGTCCGCTCCCTGGTTCCCCCCGAGCGTCTGCTCGAGTACCAGATCGGCGAAGGCTGGGGCCCGCTGTGCGAGTTCCTTGGCGAGGACGTCCCCGACACGGCCTTCCCCCGCGGCAACGACATGGCCGACTTCTTCAAGCGCTGCCGCGGCCGCAACCGTCGCCAGATGCTCAACGCTGCCCTGCAGGCTGTCACGATGGGCGGTGCCTTGCTGGCGACTGGCTTGGCTGCCACTATGGCGTTCAAGCGGTTTGTCCGGTAAAATTTTTTTTTTTTTCTTTTTGTTCATTTTTCTTCTATCTCATGTGATATCAAGCGTGCGCTGGGCGCAGTGATGTTTTCCTTTTACTATTTTTTATTTTCATTTTCATTCTCATACTTTTTCTACTTTACATTTTATCTTGGGAGTGGACAGGCCTCGGAATCATCTTTAATCGCTTTCAAAACTTGGCTCCATGATCGGTGTGATGGCGTTAGTACATACACATACATACCTATACATACACATACACATATACATACACACATACGATATGCATACACTATACATAAGATAAATACAAGTGATCGTCTGAATTGAAATGCCTAGATAAATCCAAGAGTCACTGTTTCTATTTTAGTGCTCGGTTTGGCTACTGTCTGTTACAATGGGACTGGCGCTCACGAAAGGCCTGAGCGCAGGAAGACTAGATTATGGATGGAGGTGAGTGGGTAATGCAATAGAAGTGTTGACTGTATATAGTAAATGAGAGACTCTTCTTTCCTTTTCCTATTTTGTAATGTTATTTTATTTGTTTATTTGCTTCTTTGTTTGTTTATTTATTTATCAGTTTCACATTAAAGTAATACATCATCATTCCTCTCGAAGTGAATAGAGGTATATTTACCACAGGCCAACAACACAGCTAATCATTACCTATATAAACACGTATGTTTATTAACCAGTAACACAGCAGACACAATAACACTCCTGGAGAAAGACAAACAACAATTAACTCAGCCCTGTAAATCTTGCTGCCTAGAGGAAGGAGGGCTGGCTGCATATCCCGAGTAACTTGACTGAGGGCATGACGAAGTATGTCTAAACATGCATTGCACAGTCGACTTGGCATTGCTAATTGACTCTCCTGTGGTACTTAGATACCTAGCTAGATACCTTAGCCAGAGATTTGTCTTTGTCTTCGTCATACATCTGGATATTGATCTTCATTTGTAGCTTGTTTTCCTTATACAGCCAAGCCTGGTCTGTTTACCGCCAAGTCGCTATCCTGCATCCCTTGTGCGTGCGCAATCCAGCCTCTTTCATTTGCTGGGCATTCTTCCACTAGAACAGGAGCCAAGATACCTTTGTTGAGGAACTATTATCGTGGCTGTATAGTTTGAAAGACAAAATGATACCTGGCTCGTATTGCTATGTTGAAAAACCTCGTGAATAGTAAGGGTATGGTCAACCCTTGGCTACAGAAGAAACCGAGGTCGATAAAAAATACTCTACTATGAGATAGAGTGAGCTAAGCGGAACAACGCCTGCATATACAGATCAAGCACAGACTGTGTATACTAGACGATCGACTTTCCTGATAGCAACCAAAGCAAGATCTTACCGTCTTTGTATTGGTTAATTAAGAGTGATGTCCGTATCATACTTGGTAAAGGGCTACACTAGACAAATGGGATGAGATGAAGATTTTCCTGACTGGAAACGTCGTCTCTTTTTGACAAGGCTCCTCTGGGGGAATGGCCGTTGAACAGATAAGCTAGGCTAGATCAGCAGTACACTTCATGTGTTACCAAGTCCACGCTGATCCTAGCGTACCTTATATATAGACAGCCAGTATACGATATTCTGGGCATTATTTTACTACTTTGCTATGGCAAGTACTACATGCACACTGACTCAACGTCCCCACCAGCAGCCCTCGTGAAACAATAAGAGGTAATCCGACTAAATAACAAAGAAGGATGAGTCCTTGGCATGCCGGGTCCATCTCAGCCTGCATTACAAGCGAATGTTTCACGACATTAATCAGCCCTGCACAACACGTTAGATTAACAATGACTCGGACGTCTCCGCAGGTGGAGGTCAAGCAGTACTTTTGGAAATCCTGCTGCAGTTATTAATATTGTGTATAGCGTTGGTCGTGCGCGATAAGTAATTGCTTGCGCGGACTGTAGATCGAACATTTATTACACCAGGAATACTACACAATACTATTATCAATCGAGTATGCATTAAATATAGGTAGTTTAGATGAACCCCGTACTTTTTAACCACTCTTTAGTGAGATACCACAATGACGTCATCCAACATACCAGTCAAATCCTAAAATAAAACCACCATCTGCACAGCAAATGCAACAAGTCCAATCCAGCAAATATTAATAGGCCGTGTCTGTCACCCACAAATAGAATCAATCGCAATGATATAGGTACCTAGGTAGTGATCAAGGCGTTTGCCCCCAAAGATGCCGGTCTCGATCGCAGGCCCCATCCCGATCCCGATGTCGATCCCGCCTGTTCTCGAGCGCCGGACGGAACAGCTCCTCGTATTCTTTGAGCGCGCTACGGCTTTCGTCCGAGAGGGGGCGGTCGGAGAGCCAGCTTTGCGAGATGGTCCGTTGGAGCCAGGTTGAGGAGTGGCTGCTGCTGGTGCTTGTTGTGGTTGTTGTGGTTTTTAGGTAGGGTCGTTCGACGAAGTGGTCGGTCTGGTGATTATGTGATGTTGTTGGTGATGATGTTCTCTGCTCGGGGATGTGCGAGAAGTAGTCTTTGCTGATTTTTGAGGCTGCGGGGGTTGGTGCGGCTGGTGAGGATGGGAGGGTGGTTTTGTTGTGAGATTGGGGCTTCATCTTCGGATATAGGAAGGCTTGGTAGGTGTGTGTATGCATGAATGGGTGAGTGAATGGATGGATGGCCTATTGTCTGTCTGTCTAGTAAATGGGTTATTTTTCCGTTGTGGCTGTCTGATTATACCTTATATATACTCTGATATTTTCTTACGTGTTAAACGCCACATTCCATGACGCAATTGACCACATTGTGTTTTGATAATGACAGTGTGGTTAAGGTTTTTCCTTTGTTCCTCTTCTTTTTGATTTATATATATGTATATTTATAATATAAACTCTATATTGCATGACACTAATAGTGGAAAGTGGACATGGGCAGCCAACGGAGCAGGCTGCCCAGTAACTCGCCAGTCTTCCGGTAGCGCGTATCGCCGTCAACGTGGTAGCGCGTCACTTGATATTCAATTATTCCTTTTTGGTTGGAAGAGAAGACTCCACAGGGCGTAGAACCGATCGTGTAGATGTGGCTGCTCATTAGCATTTCTATACAGAGAGAGGTAGAAAGAGGGAGAAGAGGGAGAGTACCAAATCATCCACAATCCTGCTGTAATCCGCCTCGCTCAACTCGCCTTCACCCAACCCTAACCACTCCCCCATTTCTCCATAGCCACCGCCCTCATCCAAGTCCCCAGAATAACACCGGAGCGCCCGTATCGTCCCGTCCGTATCCACGCGGGACAATAAACCCACTAACACGCCCAGTTGGCGGCCTGTCACCGACCTGGTAGTACCATCAGCAGTAGTAGCAGCAGCAACCAACCTCCGCGCAGCAGGCTCCACCATCGCCAGCGACGGCGCAAAGAAATACCCAAATGGCACCCCCATCACTAGCACATCCATCACATCATCCAAACAGCTCCCTCCCATTCCGGTCCCAACACTGCGAACCACGCGACGCAAGTCCGCCTCCTCAAATGTGTCTGCCCGTTCATACCACCGGATTTCGCCGTGAGCGGGCCATCCGCGGGTGTCTTCGTTCTGCACGCCTACAATGGAGGATCCCTGCGCGGCGAGGAGCCCCACGGCGCGCTCGTACGCCGCGTAGTCGATGTGACTGTCTGCTACGGGTGGCGGGAAGGGGTGGTAGGCGTGGAAGTGGAAGATGCGCCAGAGGAGGTGCGATTCTTCGTGTGAGAGAACCTGAGCGAGGCCAGGTCGTGTTGCTGTTATGAGGTTGTCGAGACTGGTTTGAGTCCAGTCTGGTTTGTCAGTGTACTAGTACCAGTCGTAGTGTAGGATTGGTATTTATGGTCGAAATAGCAGCAGCAGTGTAGAACGAACACTTTTGGCCGTTGTCTCCATCCACGCAGTACTCATTGAAGATCTCCTCCTGATTGAAGACTGTATGTTGGGACTTAACTAGGATGTTTCGTAGACCTGTGAGGACCGATTCTACTAGAGTTAGTTGCTAGTATACGCTATAGTCATTGCTGGTGCAGGCCCACCGGGTGTGCTGCTGTCGAGATATCTTTGAGCATCGCGTTTCTGAGGCCCCTGTTGTCGACCTGCGAGCCAGAGTCCGATACCAGTGAAGAGCTGGGACATTTTGTTTTGGTTTATAGTTCGTGGGGTGGTGGTGAGGCTGGTGGTCATTTTAAGCGTGGTCGGCTGGCTTGGCTGCACAGCCCTGGGCTAGCTGCTTATACTAAATTAGGGTTATTTATAGTCTATATTGTCTATGTTCATGGATCAAATATGGACTGGATTTGAGGAAATCAATTACCATAAGTGATAAATTGAATGGATGTTAGTTTGGATTAGATTTAATTAGTTCACTAGCCAGGTGGTGGATCACTATCGTCTATACAATTCTACGGTAGTTGGAGATCTCGGAGATTTTACCATTTTATCCCCAGATTTAACCTCTCTACTCCATACTATTCCCCAGCTCAATCAAACCTCACGACGTCATCCATATCATGACAGCAGGATCGTCTTGGCAGACGAATCTTTATTGATCCCGCCGTCGTCTAACATGCCGATCCTTGCCTGTTTATCATTCCCCATCCCTGTGTCCATCTTTTTCACCCCTGGTAGCGGAGTCCTTTCCTACTACCTACTTTACTTTAAACCGTCCAAAGATCCTTGTCTATCTCATCGGTAGCTTTGTGTAGTAACTGGTATCGCTTCCATGACGTAACAGAGCAATGGTTCATGTTTATGTCTACGTCCACGTCCAGGGTAATGTCAACATCTGACATCACAGGGGGATCGGCAATCCGCACCACGTGTGGCGTTTGGCTTCTCCTGTTGTGCTTGCTGCATGGCGTGCTGCATGGCGTGCTTGCAGAGGGTCCGGCCTTTAAATCGGTAGGTTCTCTTCACCATGTATAAGTATCTGACTGACGCTCCAGCGACCCGATCTATTCCCCCCCGTGTTAACGGTCGAGCACCGCATTCCCGATCAGCTCAGTCCGGGCTACATTTTCGTCGGCCCGTACGAGACTGACAATGCAGGACCGTACATCTACGATGATACTGGAGTAGGTGATGTCCCCAAGACTATCATTCTAAATTCGTCGCTGACCTTACAGGAACTGGTGTGGAGCGGCTGGGGCAACTCCGGCCCCGGGAACGCCCACAACGTACACGTCTGCCAGTACCAAGGCGAAGACCACCTGTGCTTCTTCCAAGGCGTGCAGCAACGCGGGTACTGCCGCGGGCACGGCGTCATCATGGACAGACACTACCGCACCGTAAAGACGGTCGTACCCGGCGGGGGCATGGCGTCAAGCGACATGCACGAGTTCAAGCTGATCGACAACGGGCGCCACGCCCTCGTAACAGTCTACCAGCAGCGGGCATTCGACCTGAGCGCGTGGAACGTGCGCGCGGGAATCGGATGGGTGATGGAGAGCGTGTTCCAGGAGGTGGACGTCGAGACGGGGGCGGTGCGGTTCGAGTGGCGGTCGCTGGACCATGTCGACCCGTCGGCGGGATACACGTACCCGGCGCACACTGACACCTCGGGGACGGGGCTGGACTCGCGCTCGCCGTGGGACTACTTCCACATCAACTCGATCGAGAAGAATGCCGAGGGAGACTACCTGGTGTCGGCGCGGCATACCTGCGCTGTTTACAAGATCTCGGGCCGCGACGGGTCCATCCTGTGGAAGCTGCACGGGGCGGATCCCAGCTTTGCTAACCTCGACTTTAGCTTCTCGCAGCAGCACGACGCGCGGTGGGTGACGGAGAACGCCACGCACACGGCGCTGTCGCTGTTCAACAACGGCTGGAACGGCTTCAACAAGACGCATGACTTTTCCTCGGGCATGGTCATCGTCATCGACCACGTTGACCAGACTGCCGAGCTGGTCCACAGCTACGAACCTCCTCCCGACCGCCTCACGCTGAGCTCCAGCCAGGGCAACATGCAGACGACGGAGCAAGGTACGGTGGTGCTCGGGTGGGGGAACCGCGCGGCCATCTCGGAGCACGACGCGGAGGGAGGGCTGCTATTCTGGGGCACGCTCGGTCACCCCCCGAACACGACCAGCAAGACCAGCTTGATGAACTACCGGGCGCAGAAATTCCGCTGGGACGGCGACCCGACCGACATTCCGGCCTTATGGGCATACGCACCATCTATAGAGCAAAACAGCACCAGCACGACCCTCTACGCCAGCTGGAACGGGGCGACCCGCGTGCGTCACTGGCGCTTTTACGGCTCCGTCAGCCAGCACACGGGACCCTATGAGCTGTTACAAGAGGTTGTAAGGGACGGATTCGAAACTGCGTGCTCGGTGCCGCGGTACGTGCGCTGGTCGTACGTGGAGGCGGTGGACGGCGAGGGCAGCGTGCTGGGCAGGTCGCAGAGCCGGTTCACGTTCACGCCGTCGGGGGCGCTGCGGGGAATCTGCGGGCAGGAATCCTGCGCTAATGCGGCGGCGTTTGGGATGCCTGGGGAGGAGGAGGATGCGGAGCCGTTCATTCCCCCGACGGGGATCAACACGGTGCCGTGGATCGATCCGGATCATCCTGAGACGCACTTTGACTGGGGTGAAACGGGGGTGCCGGAAGGGTATCATGGGCATCATGAGGAGGATGAGGTGGAAGGTATGCACTTTTTTTTTTTTTTCATATCTTTGATTCATATTGAAGATACTGACTGTATAGAAACCTGGTGGTTAGGTGTGGTAGGTGCCCTGGTGGTGGTTGTCGGGGCCATCACGGGGATGACGCTGTATCGCCGACAACATCGTTTTACCCTGTTGGACAATGGATCAAGCGACAGTCTAGAGGAGATGGAGGGACGGAAATCGTCCCTATCCTCGGACGACATGGCGTGGTGGAATGGGCAGGCGAGCCTGCAGCATCAGCATCCATACGCACATCGAATGGACGATGGATGAGTCTTGTATCAGGAGGTAATGGAGATACAGTATCATACGGTATGGTTGTGTAATAGAATACAGATGAAACGTTTGACATGTTCCTGACTAACCCACCTGGAGAATATGTCAGTATCCGCATATCATATACTAATATACTCTGGAGTATACAATGGTCCTACGTAAGCGGCTGTGAGCTACATCCAGAATAGAAATTGATGGGATAATAAAGACAACTGCACGTTCCATGGTTGTTTCTATTTCCATCAGAATCTCGACCAGCTCTCTGACTTGCCAAGACACGGGCTTCAATGGTGGAGTCAAGCGTCGCAAGCCCAGCAATGCCGATCCCTGTATGGATTGTGTACCGTGTAAGATACTCTAGAGACTCCTTTCATTCTTCTCTCTTTTCTCTCTTCTCTCCTCCTCTTTTCTCTCGGACTCTCTTTCTCTTTCCCCTCGATCTTTCTATCTTTTCTCTCTTCTCGTTTTGATCTTCTTCTTCTCTTCTTCCCCTCCTTTATATCCAATCATTCGGTTCTTTCTCTAGGCTAACGGGGATCATGCTGAACTAATTTCCGAAACCAATTCCGATCCTCCGTTGTTTCTCCCCCCTCTATTCTATTATTTTTATTTATTTTGATTTTATTTTTTTATTCATTCCTCTTTAACCGGGAAAATAAAACAAAAAATAAAATAAAATAAAGAGAGAACTCTAATATACTAATAAAATAATAAAATATCTGACTTGGCGAGTGACGACCGCCAAGTCGACACCCTCAATGCCAGTCTCCAATTCTGCATTCCAAGGACATCATCGTCGTCAGTCGTCCACGACGACCGCTATTCCTTCCATCTCAACGCTCCCTGCCCCGACTCCCTCCTCTTCTTCCTCCATTCAGCAACCTAAGAGGGACCGGAATGCCCATCACTCCCGGGCCACTTCCTGGACGTCTGGTCACGATCAAGGTCCCGAACCCTCCCCCGTCTTCCCCTCTTCCTCCTCTCGCCGTCGCGGGAACTCCAACGTCTCCCTGGCGCAAGTCTCCGAGGGCTCCTCCGGCCGATACGAAGACGACGACGACGACGACTTCCACTTCCCGGACGACGCCGGTAACAATATGAACCTCAAAAGTACCTCCTTCGAGTGGCAGGGCCACGCCCGCAGTCGCTCCGGCCACTCCATCTCCCGGCATCTGTCGTCCTTCCCGTCCGATCCCTCCCCGCAACCCCGGCCCGGCCCCGTGACCTGGATGTCACTGCCCCGGAAGCAACAGCTGGGGATCTTGGGTCTCTGTCGCGTCTTCGATTTCCTGCAGGTCGCCTCCCTGCAGGCTTACATGTTCTACCAGCTCAAATCCTTCGACGAGACCCTCTCCGACTCCGACGTCGCGACCCAGGCTGGTATCCTCCAGGGCGCCTTTACCGCCGCCCAGTTCGCGACGGCCATCCCTTGGGGACGTGTTGCCGACGCCGAATGGGGCGGTCGCAAGTTCGTGCTGCTGGTCGGCTTGTTGGGCACTGCGCTGTCGTGTTTGGGAGTTGCTTTTTCGACGTCGTTCGCGCAGGCCGTGTTCTGGCGCTCGTTTGGCGGTGCTATCAATGGTACTGTTGGTATTATTCGGACTTCTATCGCGGAGAATGTCAAGGAGAAGAAATATCATTCGCGCGCGTTTCTCATTCTCCCAATTGGGTTTAACATTGCTTCACTGTTTGGTCCGGGTAGGTTTTTCCGCACCTAGAGTGTTTTTGAATATGTGTACTGACGAAATAGTCATGGGCGGCATGCTCGCTGATCCCGTCCGCGCCTATCCCACCCTGTTCGGCCCCAATTCGTCTTTTGGCGGCCAGACCGGCGTCGAGTGGCTGACGCGCTATCCGTACGCCTTGCCCATGTTCGCCAATGCCATCTTCTTGAGTGTCACGGCGGTCTTGGTCGGCATGTATTTCGAAGAGGTACATCATCTTCTCCATCTACCTCCCGGAACTAGGCTAATCCATCCAGACCCTCGATGCGTGCAAAGGCAAGCCCGGCCTGGGCACCTTTACCCTCCGACTCGTCGCCAAGGTCGTCCGCGCCACCGTCCCGTCGTCATCCCCCCTGCACCAACGGCTCCCCTTCGCCGACTACGACGAAGAGGGCCCATTGCTACACCGACATCGCGAGTCCGAGAGCTACGAGCTCGAGGAAAAGGCCGCACGGCCCACAGCACGCGCCGCGCGCATCCTCCCCTTCCGACGACTGTGGACCAAGAACGTGCTCTGCACGCTCCTGGCACAAGCCTTCTTCGACTTCCAGATGGGCGCCTTCAACAACCTCTGGCTACTCTTCCTCTCGACCCCGCGATACGACGCAGCCGACCCGGCGGCGCCCGCGCGCCGACTGCCCTTTATCTTCACGGGCGGCCTCGGCATGCTACCGCAGAGCGTCGGCTTCGCGACGGCCATCCTCGGCGTCATCGGCATGCTACTGCAATTCACCATCTACCCGACGATCAACGGCCGGCTGGGCACAGCCAAGAGCTACCAGTACTTCCTGACTCTATTCCCGCTAGCCTACGCCTTCGCGCCGTACATCGCACTGGCGCCGTCGTCGACCCCGCCCCCGGGCCAAGCCAACGGCATCTGGGTCTGGTTTTCTATTGTTGTTGTGCTGTTCTTGCAGGTCACGGCCCGTACCTTCACACTCCCCACCTCCATCATCCTTCTTAATAACTGCTCGCCGCATCCGTCCGTGCTGGGCACCATCCACGGCATCGGCCAGTCCGTGTCCTCGGCGTTCCGCACGGTGGGACCTATCTTCTCTGGTGGGTGGTACGGCTACGGGCTGGAGATGGGCATGGTCGGGTTCGCGTGGTGGCTGGTCGCGCTGGTCTCGGCCATGGGGTGCGTCGCTGCTGTTTTTGTGTACGAGGGGTCAGGGCATGAGATTTTACTCCCTGGGGAGACGTATGACTAGTGTATAGTTTTGCTCTCTTTTTTTTCTTTTCTTTTTTTTATTTTTATTTTTTTTGTTCTTTTTTTGCATCTGCACTGCATTCCTTCAATGTTTCTTTCGTTGTGTCATTTTTTGATCCCATGTAAATATTTTGGTGGTGTATAGTGACTTGTACAGTTGGATGATAGATAGAGTATATAGAGTATCGAGGATACTTGGACATATTCATAACACGTAAGATAGATAAGGTAGTCAACATGTAACATCAATCAATCCTCACAGCCGCCTCAGCGCAGCAAACCGCTTCGTCAGATCATCCACTTCGGGGATTTTCCCCCCGGCTGATGATCCTGACTTATCATTATCATTAGTATTTCCACCCCCATCCTTCTCCCCAGCATCCCCCTCCCCAGCAGTATCTCCATCATGATCCCCCCCATGATCCCCGTCCCCAGGAGAATCCAACCCATGACCCCCCGGGTTATACCTCTCCGACCTCACAGCATAAGCCCTCGCAATCTCCTCCAGATAACAGTCCACGAGCTCCTCGCTCGGCGCACGCACCCGCAGCGCCTTGACCAGTTTCGGAGGAACCCGCACGCCCGGCACGCGGTCGTCTGCGGCCAGCGCGGCGAACTCTTTGCCGTACCGTTCTGTGAGGAGCGCGCGGAGGAGGGTCAGCTCGCGCACTTCGGTGGGGAAGCGCGCTTGCGCGTAGATTATGGAGGTGCTGGCTGTGTCGAGGGGCGGGGAGATGTATTCTTTTTCTTCTTCGGGGGGTTCTGAGGTTTCGGGTTGGTTGTCTTGTCGGGTGTCTTGTTCTTGTTCTGTGGAGGTAGCGGTTTGCTTTGCAGATGTAGACGACGGAGAAGGAGAAGAAGGAGCAGGCGAAGACGGATTCGAACTCGACCTCCAGAATGAAAACGAAAACAACCCCGCCTCGTTCTTCTTCTTCTCCCTCCCCGCATCATGTCCAACCTTCCCAGAATGAGTACCATGCTGCTGCTGCGCCTTCTGCAGCTGCAAATAATAAGACCGCATCTCCCCCCTCATCGCCACCCCCTTCTCCGAAAACGCCACCTGATCCAGCAGATTCGCCCGCGCAAGCACCAACTCGCAATACAGCTCGACCATCTCCATCACCTCCACGGCGGTGTCGGTCGCGATGACATTTTCGACCCGTATGCGCGCTGACTCGTCGCGGCCTTCGGCGAGGAGGGCGGATAGCTCGCGCCGTTGGTGGACGCTTTGCGCGGAGGACTTCTTCTGCAGGAGGCGGAGGCGGGGGATGAGGAGGTGGAGGGTGGAGGTTAGTTTTGCCTGTGTGCTTCTTTAGTATTCGATATGTATGGTCTTTGTGAAGTGGGGAGGGAAGGAGAAAGACGTACGGTTTGTGGGGAGGGAGGCATTTCTTTTGTCTCTTTCTTGCTTTCTCTTCTGCTATTGTTGCCTGTTGTTGTTGTTGTTGATGATGTTGGTCTGTGTCTGGGGATTCGATGATGCGGAGATAGGGTGATTACGTAAGTGTTTATCAGGACTATATAACTAAGCCCTACTATAGTTCGAGTTATGTGGATTAAACAACAGAGATGACTTGGAATACAATGAGAAATAAATTAATAGATAAAATAGTAAAAAGCTTTGTAAATGAAGATAATAACATCGTAATCAATGCCAACGTAAATCATAGGCAAAAGTATTCAAGCGTATATAATGCAAGGCCCGCTTATAAGACCTCACGTACACCCAGCACACCCATCACCATCGCCACTACAAACCCCACAGAGACTACATCCCGAGTGCTTCCACTCTGGGCAGAGGAAGAAGGCGTCGCGGTCCCGGTCCCCGCAGACTGGGCAGTACCGGTCTCGATCAGCACTGGCGGTCGGTAGGTATAGCTGGAGGAGGATCCGCCGCTGGAGCTTGGGCCCGACGTGGGGCGCGTGGTGGAGGGCGACGACGTGCTGCTGGTCGGGGCGTCGGTGCTGGTCGGTGCTTCGGTGCTAGTTGATTCTTCGGTGCTAGTTGGTTCCTCGGTGCTAGTTGGTTCTTTGGTGCTGGTTGGTTCTTTGGTGCTGGTTGGTTTCTCGGTGCTGCTCGGAATGGACAGTGTCGTCGAGGACCCCTTGTCGTCCTCATCCTCATCATCGTCGTCATCAGAACCAGCCTTATCAAACACCACAATATGCGCCTTCGCCCCCTTAGGAACAGTGACCACGCAGAACGCACCACCCCCCGCGCCCTCCTTCTCCGACTTGCCGCACACTTCATTAACAGCGTTGACATCCGGGTCGATCTTGCACGGCAAACCCTGACAATCGCCCCCGTCGCACTCAATCTCCACCCCGAAGTCCGGGACCACGTCGCGGAACGGCGTCGCCGGCTCCAGGTAGACGGGGTTCCACGCGAGCTTGACAAACGTCTGCCCTTTTTTGTCGGTGTTGGCCCCCGCCACGTAGGGCGACCAGTTGCCGTATGGGTTGGATGAGGTGCCCCACGCGCAGGCTGTCTCGGGATCGTACCCTGGGGGGTTGATGTAGAAGCTGTGTTTTCCGATCAGTTCCTAGCTCAGGATTCATGTGGACGGGGAAGGAAGGCGTACTGCGCTGACGTCTCGCACCAGTAATCCGGGTCGGGCACCGCCAGGGCCGTCACGTCCTCGACCATAGTGGGGATCAGCATCGCTTCGTTCCCTGGCAAGACGGTCTGACAGAAAGACACCCCGCCCTTCTTGCACTTGCTGCGGGCGGCCACCGCGCCGGTCCCGTCCTGGCAGTAGGGTTTGTCAGGGAAGGGCTTTTTGATCTTGCCGTCGTCGTCGCAGTAAAGACCGCCGTTCTAGTCCTGTTAGCCGAATTCTATCCAACTATTTCTCCCAATAGCCGAGCACCTACCATGGACGCGGGATAGCTGTACGAGGTCGCGTCGGGGTCCCACTGCATGGACAGCTGACCCGGGGGACAAGCGTAGGGACAGTATCCGCCAGGCTCGCACGATTGATCAGGGCTCAGAGCCCAGCCGCCGTTCGTCATGCTCGGTGTGATCTCAACCAGACCGGCGTCCTTGGGGAATTTGCAGCTTCCACTCCGCTTCTCCAGGGGCTCCTCGACGCTGGCGTGACGATGGCGGTGGCGGTGACTGTGGCCGTGGCCGTGTTGGGCAGCCCCCGCGCAGGCGAACAGCGCCAACCATGTCGTCGTATAGTATCGCATCGTGATCTCGATCCGACCCAGGGTCTACAATCTCCAACGAAAGACGAGGTCTTGAACCCAAATGAATGACTGGGGTGAAAAGGGACAGACCAAGCGATGCATAAACAAAAGAGAGAAGAAAAGGAAATGGGAGAACTGGAAATGAGAGAGGCACAAGCAGGCCACTGAGGCCGGGACTAATGAAACCATCGTTGGATTAACTTCTTAGTTCGTCCTTGGCAGGAGACTGCGCCAATCAATCTCTCCCCGGGTGTTCATGCGCGTCTCCACTGTAGGGCTATCGTTCCATTCAATCCCGGAGTATACATGGACTCGAAACCCCTTCAGATGAGGATCGGCCACGGAAGACGACTAAGAAACGTCCAGACCCGAGGTTCACCGCGATCGGCACATCAATATCACCATCTGGCTGTCACCGGAATTGGGATGTGATTTAACGATGGCGCTTGCCCGTACACTTCTATAACCCCGACGCGCGCTGTGGTGTAGTGTAGAGTTTGTAAAGGGGGATCCGTGTCACCCTAACCGCCGGGGAAGGCGTCGACTAGTCGCAATAGTCGCTCTCGCAAGAGGACAAGGTATCCGATGAGAAATGATTATTGCAGCCAGTCAGTCGCCTGCGTCTAGCCGTCCTTCTGACCTTCCATCCCCCTCCATCCATCAAACACGCCCGTCGTCTGCCCCCCCGTCGTCCCCTCGCGCCATCCCCACGCCACGCAATAATGTCGAGCCAACAGCTTCCATTCCTCCATCTCATCGAGCATCTCCAACCCCGCCACCCGCTCCTTCTCAGCCTCGTCCACCCATCGCTCCCACAAGAAATCCACATCCGCCGCCGCCTGGCCCCCGTGGAACCCGTGCTCCTGTAGCCGCCGCCGCTGCGCCTCCAGCGTCGCGTACTTGTGTAATGTAGGCAACTGGATGCCCCGCGTCGCCAGATTCGACACCATTGTGCGTCCGAATGCGTCATCCGGCCGGATTGGCTCGTACAGGATGAGACCCAGCGGCGACGGCGGTGTCTCTCCGCTTCCTCCAAACAGTGTTTCCGTTAGATACCCGACCACGTCGGCCGCGTCCCCAGGCGACAAGTACACTAGACAGCACTCGGAGATCACCAGCGTTGGCAGCGTCGGGTCCACCTCGCGCAGCGCCGACGTTGTCGCACCCCCATCCGGCGCCCGCTCCCCCTCTTTATTCCCTCCCTTCTTCAACGACCGCAGATCCAACGGGTGAATGTGATACGGAGGGGAGTGCAGCGCATCCCCCGCCGTGGAGATAGCCACATCCGCACCGAGCGCACGCTGCAGCAGTGGCGACGCACGGATAAACTTAATCTTGGCAGCTGTATTCACGGCGAAGTCGATCTCATGGTAGACGAGGTTTTGGACGGGCGGGTGCGACGCGGACGACAAGAGGCGGAAGATGCGCGTGTCGGTGCCCGCACCGAGCGAGATGATCTGTTTCCTGCTCGTCGCGGGCACCCCATCGAGGAATCGTCGGACGAGCGTATCGATTACCGTTGTTCGCACGTAAGTGCCTGTAGTTTGTGCGATTCGGAAACGATCAGGCGGGCGCGGTCTTCAGTTGTGAAAGGATCGTCTGCGTACCTCTGTTGATTATGGGCAGGCGGCGAGTCTCTGCCCCCGGTTGTGTCAGAGCCGGCGCATATGGGTCGTCGAGATATCCCAGACGAACGGCGCTCAGACGCGACACCCCGGCGTCGTTGTCTGTGCCTTGCACTACCTGGTCTTGACTGCCTGTTTGCGGGCCCCCACCTCGACCCCTCAATCGGCCGCGACTCCCCCCGCCTCCGCGGCGCAGTGTGTTGAGGTTGGGAATCTGTGGTGCCGACATGCAGGGTGTTGATAAACTAATTGCGCGAGAGAAAGAAGGTGGATGCGCAAATAAAAAGACGGCAGGTGTGAAAAAAATAAGTAGTTGGATTGGAGAAGAAGCTCAAGCCGATCGGAATGAAGTGATGTCAATCCGGTCTAACCCCATCGGGCAATCCGCGACCTGACTAAAAATGATGTCTATTTTGTCTACTCCAAATCTGAACCCATTCCTCTATACAAAGCTAACGTTGCAGATCACACAAAGTTGAAGTTGTTCCGGCACAGAGGACAGCTGCTCTGGTTGCTGCTCTTGAACCACCGGTACAGACACACCGAGTGGAAGGTGTTCTTGCACGTCGCGCACCGCTTGTTCGGCGTCTGCATGTCCGTTGAGATGACCGAGTAGCAGATCGCGCACTCGCTCTGTCCCTTCATGGCTCCCTGCACGTTCTTCCGGAAGGCCAGCAGCCCGTCGACCAGGTTTCCGTTCGCGAACATGATCACCCCCTGGATTGTGATCATCCAACCCTTCCACTTCCGCTCGTCCACCAGCACCCGGCTGCGTCCCGTCACGAGTGCCGGCTGCAGCGGGTATGCTGGGGGCAGAGAGATCGACACTGACACCGGCGGCGACTCCTCGTCCACTGGGATGCTGGCGATGATTTCCGCCGTCTTGGGAGAGATTTTAACCGCCAAGGCACGTTCCTCGTTGGGGTCTTGCGTCGCCACCCACTCGGTGACGCTCTGGAAGGAATCGGCAACGACCAGGGGCGAGACCTGTCTGGATTAGCATGTAGAAATAGTAGAATCCCATATGGTACTCACGAATCTCTCGGTCCAGCTTTCTACCGGCCCCTTGATGCGCTTCTTCGTGTCGATCCACCATCCCTTCGTCACGGTGGGAAGGTGCTTTAGGCATAAGTAATACAAATGAACCAGAAGCCACTGGATCTCTCTCTCATCCGTCTCCGACTGGTCGAGTTCAAACGAGCGAATATCAAACTTGGATGCGTCCACAAGTTTTCCGTTCGACGTCTCAAGAAATTCAAAAGTAAAGTTCAGCAACGGAATGAGCACGTCGTTCTCTTTGATGCTGTTCACGTAGTGCTCTTCCACAGTAGCAGACTATTTTGCGTAAGCCGGGATATCCCATCAGAAGGGGTGAGGCTAAGTATGAATTGACGTACCGTGTTGACAAAATGGTCAAAGACCACTTGCCAGCTCAGCAAGTATGACCGGACCTCTGCCCACATTCTATCATCGCCGTCGGAGAGCGCTATCGATTCCGAGCTCGGTGCCTCAAGCAGCAGTGATATTAACTCATTAGGAAGTCGGACAGTCGACTTGGATAGAGCCACATCGAATGACACTTGTTCCTGGGTACTTGGCACGTAGCGATGGAGAATGGTATAGGCTGCTCGTTGCACGGCTCGGCTCTGAGCCGTCAGGAGAGGGAAAAACTTGCTCACTTCCTCGAGACCCTCAGTCGGAACGACAGTGATTAAGCGACAGAGGAGGTCGACGGCGACATCCCGCGGCTGGTAGGAACTCGTTGATGAATCTGTCCGGTTATCAGTTAGCGGCCCCTACGTATCCATGAAGGATTTACGAACCGAATTTTCTCAACGTAGATGTCAAACTGTTGAACAAAGTCGCCTTCTTATCCGACCAGGCGTCTTTCACGTCGTCATTGCTGTCCTCGTTGTCGACGATCCCCTTCAGGCGAGTGAAAAGTCGGAATGACGAACACAAAACTGGCAGCGCTTCATCGCCAGCGTTTGTCTCTCGCCATGTCCTACTAAGGATCTCCACGCACTCTTCCCAGTGTGACCCGTATATTTCACTGATACAGGGTAGCACAAATGACAATGTCTGGAAAATTTCTCCCTGGACAGCCAGAGATGTTTCCTCAGACTGAAGGCACTGCAGAAGATGTTTGACTAAGAACACCACACGCTGCGTCGGGATGGACGCCGCGATGTCTTCGTCCCCGGGTAGAAGAAGATTCAAGAGCGCCAGTTTTCGCAGACCTAAATTGAGTCAGCACCAAAGCAAAAGCAAAGTTTGCTTCCTTGCCACTCACCATCCTTTTTCTCGTCCGATGGTTTTAATCCAGTGGAATCTGCGACAAGCTCATTGCAAAGTCGTGTCCCGGTAGGATTGGAAATTATCGAGTCTCGCAGAACGGCAACCCAAGAACTGGACCAGATGGCATTTGCCGCTCGAGTGTCTCGGCAAAGTTTGGTAACCTCCTCCGGAGATTTGGCCTTGTGCGACAGACTGGCACTGTCCATGATCTTCGCGAAAGCTTCGCCGACCCGGTAATCCCTTGGAGAAAGACCAGCCAGCTCCTCGAGTTTACTTTGCCAGAAGGAAGTTATCTTGGGGGCAACGCTTTCGGACTCAGTCCAATCCCTCATCACCTTTCGGCCCTCATTGACAACTGCCATGTATTCCTCTCGTTGTTCAGGGAGAATCAGTCCAGTGATGCCGTTGGAGTTCTCAATGCTCAAGTCATCGTCGACCAGTTGGACCGACAGAGGAATGTTGAAGAATAAGGTTTCGAGTTCTTCGACATCGAGATCCATCGTGATGTTGAAAAGAGAAAGAACTCGGGTGGTGAAATATACCAGTCGGAACGCAGATGAGCAGTGGTTAGAATCGCGTGGCACCTTTTCATAGCGTTCCTTGAATTCTTCTGACAAAGTACGATCAATAAGGTGCACAGTGCCTCCTAGTGGGCTGGTGATAACAGCTGAAGTCCGAAGAGGAAAGTCGAGGAAGGGTCCTAAAGCCGCGGCCCAAGATTTGCGCGAAGGTAGCACATCCTTTGCTATACGACGAACGTCTTCGGATTTAGTGTTATGTAGCAATTCTTCGGCGATAATCAGCAGCGATTCGATCCTTTTTGACGTTAGCAGATACCCCATATTTTTTATCTTCGGCGAAGCACTTACGAGAGCGACTCCTCAGTGACATGATCGAAATTGTGCTGGAGAATCTCAAAGCTGGACTTGGCACTTGTCTCGCTGACGATAGAATCCTTCAGCGTCTTGATCAACGACTCGGAAAGGTTGGATACTTCTTCCTCGGGAGATTCCGCCAAGAAGAGTAACTTTCCAGTCAGCTTGGAGCCGTTGTTTCCATTTTGAAAGCCGCGGACAGCTTCCCGGACTGAGCCCGCAATTTGCGAAAGGCCGTGCAGGGCGTTGGTGACTTTACTTCCATCAGACAGTGCATCAACAATTGACATGAACACCTGATCCGTCAAAGCCCCATGTGAACTCTTGTTTTGAAGGACCGCGATAACAATCGACCAGTGCAGATTGCTACCTCTGCAGGCTTGGTCAAGAGCCCGCATGATCAAGGAAGGCAGCCCGCTCTTATCTCCCACCTCCTTGAAATCCAGGGTTGACAAAAGCTTCTGCACAGCATGCGCGTTAGACGATCCAGGTTCAAACTGTGCGACTTTCTCAATAACAGTCTCAAAGCTTGGACCAAACCCATCCCACGAACGACAGGACAAGATAATGGAGATCAGGCGGTCGCCAGATGGCGAAAACAGAAGCTCAGGTGCATCAACTTGCACGAAATTCAGCAAAGCTGAAGAGCCTTGCGCAATTTGTGGGACCTTCCGAATCGTCTCCTCAACGACACCTGCTGCTCCATATGGCTTACCATTTCTGGTTCGCAACACTTCCAGGCAGTTCTCAAGCAAGGTCGAGTTGGCGTTTTTGAAAGCCGCCAATATCCGGCTTTCATGCTCCGAATCCGCTACTCGGGAAAGGACTGCAGCCTCGAGGGCAAAAAGACGCTCGGCTTGGCTGCACACTGAATCTTGGGAAGCCCTGAAGTCCTGGGACTGCTCTGGACAAGATATCTTGACAGCTTGGAGCAAGTCATCCGACATGACCGTTCCTATATGTTCCAGTTCCGCTTGATACCCATGCGTTGCTAGAGTGACAAGATAATCTGTGCAGATTGCTTCAGCCGCCAAGGCAGGAAGCGACCACTGGGGTCGATCCTGTTCGGGTTTCACGTATTGCAATGGGATAGGAGATAGTCTGTTGCGCAAGAACTCCGTCCTACTATCTTCTGGCAGCAAATGAGCGAGCCATATCCCAGTATCAATGTAGGACTTCCATGCAGCTGCCCGGTTCTGGCGAGGCTCTTCCCTTGAGTTTAATCCCTCTTGGAATGACTCTACCAACACCGTTGCACCTCCGAGTCCGATGTTCTCTTCGCCGGTATGTTGAGTGTCAACCTTGGCCAATGTTTGCAGTGGTATGATTTGCAATAACTCATGAAGATTTGGCCAAAACGAGCCGGCACCGCCCTCGGAACCCTTCTGGATGTACTGTAGCAAACGCTTTGACGGTGACGATTTTCCAGTATAGTCTTGGCTCCATAATTGAGGCCGCACAGATGTCATCCGCAGGAGCGACTCGGAAAGATCCGAGGAAGACCCAAGCTGAGAGATATGCAAAGACTTGCCGATCACAGCGGCACTAACAAGCTTCCAGTCCAACAGTTCCGGGCCTTTCGACACCGCAGATCTGAGAAGGGTATATATCGACTTGCGCACAAACGGGTCCTCGTGGTAGCAAAGAGCCCACAACGATTTACTACCTAGTAGTGTTTCGATCGTGACGAGATCTTTTTCCAGATCCTCCTGTGCTGCATTTCCTACTTCGAGTCAGGCCAGATTGGGATAATGCTGGGTTTCAACGGGCATACCTAAGATCCGATTAAACAACAAGAGCGCAGTTCCTACCACACGAGCATACTTCGCTTCTGCATCGTCTGGCTTGACCGTCCTCTCGTCACTCAGAGTCAGGGCAGTCTGCTGAAGGACTACATCGTCTACAAACGCAAGGATCGAGCTCTGGTAGACCTTCCAGACACCATTTCTCTTTTCATCGGTAGAGAACACACGGGTAAATGACTCCACAGCAGATCGATGCACGGGCTTGTCGTTGTCGTAGACTCCAGCAATCCATGGCCCAATAACCTTGGGTAAAAAGCGGACAATCCGCTTCCCTACAAGGGATGCAATGGACCCTTGTGTGAAATGAGCATTTTGTCTCACTCTCCGGGAGATGTCGATTGACGCCCGGGGGTATATTTTGACCTGTCA